TGTATAACTACTGTCTACACAGTGCCTCTCTGTGGTTGTTGTATAACTATACACAGTGCCTCTCTGTGTTTTTTAGCTCACCTGGCACGAAGTGCCAAGTGGGCTTATGCCGTGGCGCGGCGTCCGCCGTCCGTCCGTCCGTCGTCAATATTTTACTTTAAACGACTTCTTCTTAATAACCGAAAGGCCTAGGGTGTCGATATTTGGCCAGAAGCAAACTTGGATGAAGGGCTACAAAGTTTGTTAAAATTAATGACCTTCACCTATTTTCAAGGTCACAGAGGTCAAATATGTCAAAAGCTTTAATCATCTTCTTCTCAATAACCAAAATGCAGAGGGTGATGATATTTGGCCAGTACCTAGCTGAGATGAAGGGCTACAAAGTTTGTTCAAATGAATTACCTTCACCCATATTCAAGGTCACAGGGGTCAAATATGTTTAAAAACTTTAAACAACTTCTTCTGTATAACCAAAATGCAGAGGGTAATGATATTTGGGCAGTAGCATGCTGAAATGAAGGGCTACAAAGTTTGTTCAAATGATTTACCTTCACCCATATTCAAGGTCACAGTGGACAAATATGTCAAAAACTTTAAACATCTTCTTCTCAATAACCAAAATGCAGAGGGTGATGATATTTGGCCAGTACCTAGCTGAGATGAAGGGCTACAAAGTTTGTTAAAATTAATGACCTTCACCTATTTTCAAGGTCACAGAGGTCAAATATGTCAAAAGCTTTAATCATCTTCTTCTCAATAACCAAAATGCCCAGGGAGTTGATATTTGGTCAGTAGCATGCCTGAGTGAAGGGCTACCAAGTTTGTTCAAATGAATGACCTTCACCCATATTCAAGGCCACCGTGGTCAAATATGTCAAAAACTTTAAACATCTTCTTCTCAATAACCAAAATGCCCAGGGAGTTGATATTTGGTCAGTAGCATGCCTGAGTGAAGGGCTACCAAGTTTGTTCAAATGAATGACCTTCACCCATATTCAAGTTCACAGGGGTCATATATGTCAAAAACTTTAAACAACTTCTTCTGTATAACCAAAATGCAGAGGGTAATGATATTTTGCCAGTAGCATGCTGAAATGAAGGGCTACAAAGTTTGTTCAAATGAATGACCTTCAATTATATTCAAGGTCACAGGGGTCAAATATGTTTAAAAACTTTAAACAACTTCTTCTGTATAACCAAAATGCAGAGGGTAATGATATTTGGGCAGTAGCATGCTGAAATGAAGGGCTACAAAGTTTGTTCAAATGAATGACCTTCACCCATATTCAAGTTCACAGGGGTCATATATGTCAAAAACTTTAAACAACTTCTTCTGAATAACCAAAATGCAGAGGGTAATGATATTTTGCCAGTAGCATGCTGAAATGAAGGGCTACAAAGTTTGTTCAAATGAATTACCTTCACCCATATTCAAGGTCACAGTGGACAAATATGTCAAAAACTTTAAACATCTTCTTCTCAATAACCAAAATGCCCAGGGAGTTGATATTTGGTCAGTAGCATGCCTGAGTGAAGGGCTACCAAGTTTGTTCAAATGAATGACCTTCACCCATATTCAAGTTCACAGGGGTCATATATGTCAAAAACTTTAAACAACTTCTTCTCAATAACCAGAAGGCCCAGGGTACTGATATTGGGCCTGTAGTATGCTGGGATGAAGGACTATCAAGTTTGTTCAACTGAATGACCTTGACCAACTTTCAAGGTCACAGGGGTCAAATGTCGTAAAATCTTCAAGCGACTTCTTTTCAATAAGCAAAAGGGCCAGGGTACTGATATTGGGCCTGTGGCATGCTGGGATGAAGGGGTACCAATGTTGTTTGAATGAATGACATTGACCCACTTTCAAGGTCACTGGGGTCAGGTGTCTTAAAATCTTCAAACAACTTCTTCTCAATAACCAGAAGGCCCAGGGTACTGATATTGGGCCTGTAGCATGCTGTCTCTGGTTTTTGTATAACTTCTCTCTACACAGTGCCTCTCTGTGGTTTTTGTATAACTGCTCTTTACACAGTGCCTCTCTGGTTTTTGTATAACTACTCTCTACACAGTGCCTCTCTGTGGTTTTTTGTATACGTCCATTTACCATTTTGACAATTGATATTTTGATGAACAGTTATCCTAAATATAGATCTGGTTCAGTTGCTCTAAGTTATTTTAGAACATGGTTTGAATCAGCTGCAACTTTTTCTTTTTATTTGACAGAAAAGCTAATGCGAACAATTAGTACAGAGAGGCGCCAAGCATTTTCAGCCGGATTGCAATGCAATCAGGGCTTATAGAATGGCAATTTCTGTCTGTCTGTCTGTCTGCACTAAGGTTAAGAAGAATGGTTAAGCTCCTTTTCTAAGTTATTAATTAACCCACATCAACTAAACTTGCATGGCTTATGTATCTAAGGATGCTTATCACATGCTATGCTTTGGATGCTCACAGGTTCTGACCTACATTTTCCGCTTCAGTGACCAGGTTAAGAAGTTTGGTTAAGGTCAGTTACTAAGTAACTACTTGTTGTACATCAACTAAACTTGCATGGCTTATGTATCTAAGGATGCTTATCACATGCTATGCTTTGGATGCTCACAGGTTCTGACCTACATTTTCCACTTCAGTGACCAGGTTAAGAAGTTTGGTTAAGGTCAGTTACTAAGTAACTACTTGTTGTACATCAACTAAACTTGCATGGCTTATGTATCTAAGGATGCTTATCACATTTAAAACCGATAAAGATATGATGAAACTTGAATATGACTGCATCACTCATAGACAATGTGCAGGGCACTGTCATTAGGTCATTGTGACCTTGACCCCAAGGTCAAAGGTCAAATATGTGCAAATTTTTCAGTAACATCTTGGGCTGTTACTTTTAAACCATTATAGATATCTTAATGAAACTTGCAGCATAACTGCATCAACTACAGATGAAGTGCAATACTTTGTCACTATGTCACTGTGCCCTTTCCCTCAAGGTCAAAGTTAAAAAAAAGTTTGATTGTTTCAAACATTAAACGGTGTACTCCAAGATGATGCTTAAACTTAGTATACAGTATATGATGCCATTGTTAACTCTATCCGAGCATCATTTGCGACTATGGGGTCAGTTTTGAGGACTTCTGTAATGGTCCCCATTACAATTAGAACTTGTTCATATGCAGTAGTTCCTCTAATAATAAGGTAAAATAATTTCTAATAGATATCCTGATAAAACTTGCAATATTTCTGTATTACAGTGTTTTCAGTGTTTCGATCGGTCAAATCAGCAAAAGTGATTTTTTCACTACTTAAAAATATCACTTACATATAGTAAATAATTTTCTATATTTCACTGGTAAAAATGTAATAAACAGTCCTATAGACCTTATCATTGGAACATAGTTCTGAACCAGACAAAATCACAATGTGTTTACTGCAGAAATTAAAACAGTGTAAACACCATGTGTCACTGTCTAAGAGGCTAAATCTGTTCGCAGTTGGATTTGAATAAAAAGAAACAGGTTTAAATAGAATGTGCACATGCACAGAAAGGTACTGTAGGCAGATTTTCAAACCGTGCAAGTTATGATATCAGTAGATCTAAACTTCAAATGAATTACTCATTTATAACAATGAATTAAGGAGGTGTTGTTTGGAAGATGCTATTGATTAAGAATATATGCAGTGCTTGTATTCCAAAAATGTTAGGTGAATACAGCAAGAATTTACTTTCTCCCCTCGGCTGGAAAAACACATTTGTTACTGAAAAGTTCCGACAGCTGGGGCTAAAACGTGCGGTTGTACAGTTAGGATTTCTTGCACGACAAGTAAACATTGTCTCTTGTCAATTTCTCAACATGAATTGTTCCTAAGGAGTATCAAACTATATTATTACTAAGAGTTTTGTGGCAAAATTATAAAAGAAACTTCACTAAATTGTCTCTTTAATCTATAAATATTTCATTCATGAAAAGATAGTTTTTACGGGGTGAGAGATCCCTTTTATCGCTGTGCTATCGCAGGCAAATAGTCCCAGGATTAATCATACATTGTCAGTGTGTTAGTACTACCTACCAGGATTGATCATACATTGTCAGTGTGATATTACTACCTACCAGGATTGATCGTACATTGTCAGTGTGTTGGAATTAGTACTACCTACCTAGCTTTAAGTGCTGATTGATCATACATTGTCTGTGTGTTGGAATTAGTACTACCTACCTAGCTTTAAGTGCTGATTGATCATACATTGTCTGTGTGTTGGAATTAGTACTACCTACCTAGCTTTAAGTGCTGATTGATCATACATTGTCTGTGTGTTGGAATTAGTACTACCTACCTAGCTTTAAGTGCTGATTGATAATACATTGTCAGTGTGTTAGTACTACCTACCAGGATTTATCATACATTGTCAGTGTGTTGGAATTAGTACTACCTACCTAGCTTTAAGTGCTGATTGATCATACATTGTCAGTGTGTTAGTACTACCTACCAGGATTGATCATACATTGTCAGTGTGTTGGTACTACCTACCGGGATTGATCATACATTGTCAGTGTGATATTACTACCTACCAGGATTGATCATACATTGTCAGTGTGTTGGAATTATTACTACCTACCAGGATTGAACATACATTATCAGTGTGATATTACTACCTACCAGTATTGATCATACATTGTCATTGTGTTAGTACTACCTACCAGTATTGATCATACATTGTCAGTGTAATATTACTACCTACCAGGATTGATCATACATTGTCAGTGTGTTAGTACTACCTACCAGTATTGATCATACATTGTCAGTGTGATTTTACTACCTACCAGGATTGATCATACATTGTCAGTGTGTTGGAATTAGTACTACCTACCAGGATTGATCATACATTATCAGTGTGTTAGTACTACCTACCTATAGCTTTAAGTGCTGGTTTAGTTTCATTTGACCAGTTTTCTTGAAAAGGTGTTTCTGTTTTGATAATATTTATTTGATTTTTATTAAAGCTCATGGAGATGGATTAGTGATACCATCGAAGGAAGGTCTTCCTACAGAAACTATCACGTTGAAATGGTGTACCCCAAAGTCCAACGTCGTAGGTGAGTGGCTAGAAATGGTTTGCCATTTAGAGTGTCCAGATGTGTGTGACAACATCTTTTGAATAGTCATTGCAGCACTTTTAATGTTAAAGTTCCAGCTCGATCTACAGGGAGTATAGACAGTGTGGATCTTAGTTCCAGCTCGATCTACAGGGACTATAGACAGTGTGGATCTTTATTCATGTACATCAGGTCCAATGGGTCAATTTCAGCAAAGTTTTTAGAAAAGGAAAAAAATAGAATTCCCTATTTGTTTAAATCATGACCCCCAGGGCCCGTATTCATGAAACCATTCTCATGCTCAAGTATGAAGTCTCTCCAAAATTCTTCCAAAATCGGTTAATCATTGAAAAATTTGAAACTATATTTAATTATCATTGGCATAAGAAACATATATGTATGAGTTTGAGCATGAGAATGGTTTCATGAATACAGGCCAAGGGCTTCTATTATAAAGAACCCATTGCATTTAAAACAAATTCAGGTCAATAAAGATAATTTGGTCCTTGTTTAATATATGACTTGTAAAGGTCACATAATTACTTAATATACATAACGAACTTAAATAGGAGTGATGAAATGAGAATGTATATTTCATTTTACTGAATTATGTTCTTATTTGTATGCCAGAAATGCACTACTGTACAGATGTGCACCGAGTGACCCCAGTGGATGTCAACAGTCGGCCATCATCCTGTCTCACAAACTTCCTGCTCAGCGGTAAGATCAGTTCTTTGTTTAGCAATGAATTATTGGGATGAGAAAGAAATTGCCAATTGTAAAAAACATCCCGGTGGAAATCCAGATGGAATCAACTGCTAAGTTATATACAGGTTGAGATTAACTGATATGAGGTAATTTATTGCTATTTTATCAGATATGTCCTCTTTTCTGATTGGCTAAGCCAATATCAACTGACTTTATTTCTAAAATACTGAATCCGTTCTACTTTTTTTTTCTCCAAAACCCCTGAACCAATTTCAATGAAATTTTGCAGAAACCTTCCATGGCCAAAGGTCAACAAAAGTTGTGGCGGATTTGGTCCCCAGCCCCCAGGGGCCTGAGGGGCAAATTTAAGAGTCAAATTGACTAAAATTTCAAAAATCTTCTTCTCAAGACCCAGATATGGTAGAATCAAGCACTCTTCATAGATGGAAGGGACATAAGGTGCTTTACCAAAATTGTGAATTTTATGACCCTGGGGTCTCACGTTTCCCCCTGGGGAGGGGGTAAACTTTACTATAGTTTATATAGGGAAATCACATTTTGGACCAACATTTGTTTAATTTCCATTGGAAGTAATTCAATTTAGGTTAGCATTATCAGTATTGGGTAGCAGTTTGATGGTATGCACATACCAACCCTGAATGACCCCCCGGGGCTGATGGGTGGGGCCAAAAAGGGTTGAATTGACTGAAAAATCTTTTCTCAAATACCCAGATATGGTAGAATCAAACACTCTTCATAGATGGAAGGGTCTTAAGGTTTATGCCCCTAGGGTCTCACGTTTTCCCCCTGGGGAAGGAGGGGGGGGGGGCAAAATTTATTATGGTTTATAATGGCAAATGATACTTTGAATATTACATGTTAATAATTTGATTTGAATTATAATCTTGAGTTGACAGTTTGATACTTTGAAAATTTTGAGCCAGCGCTACCCCCAAGGGCTGTAGGGTGGGGCCCAAAGGAGTCAGCGTGCTAAAATTTCTTCATTTTCCTTGTTTAGAATCAGAGGTGCTAGTTTCAAATACTTTTTAGTCTTAAAACTGTATGTTAGATATTGAATAAGGGGGTTTTATTGTTTTTTGTTACTTTGAATAATATTTCTGTTCGTGTCAAAAACAAAATCAACTCTCTGTTTAAATATATCAGGTGACCGTTAAGGCCCATGGGCCTCTTGTTAAAGAAATTAATTCAATATTTGTTTCCGACATTTGACCTCTAATTACAGGTCGAGCTGTCATGCTGGAGCAGCCAAAAAAGACTGGCATCAAGGTCATATCACATATGCTGGCAAGTCATGGTGGGGAGATCTTCATCCACGCCATACATACAGGACGGTCCCTGTTGGAAGATCCTCCTTCCATCAGTGAGGGGTGTGGGGGACGGGTCACCGACTACAGAATCAATGTAAGTGGTTTTAATGTGGGATAGACAGAGTTTACACTAATAAAGGACACTGCTTCAAGTATTGTTGGGGAAGCTGGATGCCTGGGGTCAGCATATCTACACAAACATGAATCTCTGTCCATAAGGGGTGCTTGGGCCAAGCTACTGACTACAGAAACATATACCTACATAATTCCTTCTTAAACACAACATTGTGTTGGATTTCATTTATCATTTATATCATGGAAATGTTTTTTTTAGATCCTTTTTTATCACATGATAAAAAAAAATCCCAAATATTGCAAAACACAATCTCCAGGTCATTCTTAAAATCTAAAATTCTTCTGTGATATCACAATAAGTCATTATACCCAAGTTGTACATGAGATTGCATACAACATCTATGACATGGGTGTATTTACTGAATGATATTGTAATCGAATAAATATTGTTTCAGATGAACTGAAATGAGGATTTGCGTGCTTAAAATTTATATCGTGCGATTTTGTTTTTACTTTAAGGACTTTGGCGAATTTATGAAAGAGAACCGACTAGCACCAGCTTTACCCAACATGTTAGAAGAACCAGAAGACCCCCCACTAGACCGGGGTGAGTAAAAATGAGAAATAGACTCTTATACACCTTCATTCTAGTATACAGATTTATACTTCTGTCAATATGTTACAGTGTATCAGACTGAGTTTTACCAGACATAGTGGATCCTACTAAGGAGTTAAGGAGTCTACACATAAATTGTGACTATTTTAGCTAGCTTGTTAAATCAGTACAATTGACAATATTTTGACACACTTGCTTTAGTGGAGTGCTAAAATTGCAGAATTCACTACTGATTGATTGAATGCTGAATCTTAACAAAAATTAAACAACATCATAGGGCAGTTTTTCCCAAAGTAGGAAGCCTGTTCTGATGAGGGCCCTCCCTAGGAAATTTAAAATATAACTTAGATGAATATTGTACTATTCTGGGTCTGGAAGGGACCACCAGGGCTGAGTGGTTAATGTGTCAATCCGTCAATGATGACTAGCCCGAGATCACCACTGGGTCACAGGTTTAATGCCTACGTCGGGCAACCACCAGGTACTGACTTACGGTTGATATTTTTCTCCCGATATGCCGATTTTCCTCCACCACAGGTTGACTCTGGTAGTTAAAGACTACTTCCTCCACCTAAATGGCTCTATAGCAGTTCACTTTATGAGTAATGGAACAAAACCCTTTCTACCACAATATGCTGTGTTATTCCACTCTCAGATCATTGTATAAACATGCAGACTGTTGAATAAATATGAGTTATACACCACACATGGTATATGACCTTCTGTAGTTTTGATTGGTCGAGAAGATGAACCTTGACCAGACGAATTTTTTCACACGCTTTTTGTGGCGTGCTGTTTTGTTAACGTCGTCTGCTGTCAACATCCGGCAAATGTTGGTGACTTTTGTGAGGTTATGCAATGGAAAAAGGGGGTTATTAAGGCAATACCAAAAGAAGAGGATGCTTAAAGATTTGATTGCTAGTTTCAGGCAAAATTGCTACAGACGCTCGATATCAATTTGACGCCATACTGTCGCGTGTCCAGGTCATGAAACCCAGAGATGTAATATATATGTCTCTGTGAAACCCAAACATGATCTGTAACAGTGTCGGAAAATATTTCTTTCTCCCCATGTCCCGTTATCAATATTTGGAGAGCCTATAACTTTTGAAAATTAACTAACTTGAGTGAAATAAATACCATATTCAACAACCACTCGTTGTGTAACCTCTATATATGCCATATTATATTATCAGCTGATACTGTGACTAATGCAATCTTTTAGAACCATGCATCACAAAAATCATTGGAAATTCATCTTAGAAGTGGGATAATGAGAAACTTTCTTATCTCTATGCCATGTTGGTAAAAGTCTAAATAAGAGGCATGCATTTTTGAATAAATTGACAAGATACTCATGCTACTGGAAATGGTCTAGGGGTCAAGCTCCACCCTGATGACTTACCCTCAGTCATAATATGGCAACATTTGAGATCCCCACCCTGTAAACATATATGTGATTGCTGGGCATGAGAGCACAAATATACTCATTCTGTTACAATTGGCCAGGGTGTTGCCTCATTCCTTTTTACAGTTAACTCCCTGGGTCGAAATATGGTTGAGATACCCACTGTTTAACCACATATGAGATTGCTAGGCTTGAAGAGATGATTTCATTCATGCTACAAGGATTGGCTCAGGGGTCTTGCTCCAGCATTTGGGATTTACTCCCTGAGTCATTAAATGGAAACAGTTGAGATTGGCCCTGGGTACTTAAGGGGTTTAAATTGATAATGAAATTCCAGGTGAGCTATTAAAGCCCCTTGGCCTCTTGTTTATCAGTGCACTGAGCCCTTGTTATGTTCGGTTAAACATGGTCTGCCAGTAAGATACAGTATAAAAGAAAATGTCTCATGTTCGGGTGGATTAGAGGTCAGAGGTTAGGGGTTGTAGGATCATAAAAGGTTGCAATTGAATAAAGTTTCATGTTTACAAATAAAGCCAGTACAGATTTCAATGTATCTAATCTTCAAATTATTTTGTATTGATTTTTTGCTTTTCAAAACTGTTTCTTTGACCAAAATCTTGTTCAATAATTTCTGCAATACCATAAACCAAATTGCTTGCAATAGATATGATGCCAAAACTAGCGTATAGCCATATCATTACAGAATATTCGGTAATATTTATAGACATGTTGCACCCTTACATTTCAAAAACATCATTCCCAGAAGTAAGGGTTACCTAGGGATTTTCCACTGTTTTTAGATATAAGGTAAATTAACTATAAACCATAGACCATTTCATGTAGATATACAGTAGTTATCAGGGTTTCTTGGTTTTAGATATTGTGATTTGTATAGTAGATATGTAAAATCATTATAACTTGACCATTTAGGTTTTGTAAGTGAGGTTAAATATGATCAACAAGTCTTTGTATAGATGAAAAGCACATGGGCAATCTAGGACAATTCCAGCCAAGAAAGGAAATGTTACAAGAATGGTCTGTGATAATGCTGTGTTGCCTTTCTGATGCAATCTATTTGTGTGGTTACTAAATATATTGGGGTTTTTTTACCACAAATTTTAGTATATTGAAGTGAATTAATCAACAACCAAGATAAAATAGTATTCAGAGGAAGCCAGAATACATTTGTAAATCTAATCTCAACAACTGAAACAATGTTTCACCGCGACGCCGTAAAATAATCTCACATTTGAAAACCCTGTGGAAGGAGATCTCCCACACTGGGCAAACCCTGTGGAAGGAGATCTCCCACACTGGGCTCCTTAAAGTCTAGCAACATGCGATTTCTGTAAAGTACATATAGTGTATTTAATTTAAATAGAAATTGGTAGCCATGTCATTCCATCTCCAATCTTTTGGTGGTATAAGTAATACCACACACTTCTTCTCATGATAAAACACTGTTGTGAGATCATCCATTGTTCTCATTGTGCATTTTATAGTAAGACAATGGTATCAGTTATTTTCTGGTAGCTCTCCATCATCAAAACTCCTTGCCCAATGTTGACACATTCATCGATCAACTTGTCCTTTAAAAGACTTCTTGTCCAGAATGGCTGAAAGGATTTTGACCAAATTTGGCATGGATCATCACTCCTTAGGCCAAAGCAATTAAATTTTTCATAATTCAAAATATATGAATCAGATCTTCTTAGGGTTTAAGTGATGAAGCCCCAAATGGAAACAATGGATTACCCTAAAAGGCTACTTCTTTGGTACAGGTAAAGGGATTTTGACCTAAGCGGTAATGAAACACACCTAGACCATGGGAATTAATGAAGAATGTGGCTCAATAAGGGGACTTGCAAAAAAACTTTTAACATCTTCTCAAGATTTAGTTAATCTGTTGTTATTTTTCCTGGCTACCTTGAAATCCATGATGATTGGTTGAGATAAAAAAAATACATATATTCAATGTCCATCAGACTAACTTGGACAGAACTTCATGCAAATGTTCCTCACAACCAAAAATGGACACCTGTTCTCCGATTATCTTGGACATTTTCATTTTTTTCCCAGCTTCCTATTTGTATCAGGCCAAGTAACCAAACTTGATCTGAATATTGCTTCTGGCTCTGAAAAGGTGCTGTTGTTGTTGAGCTTGCTCACAATTACTGCCCTGTCCTATGTTTGACTGATACATATTCGATCGATCACTTCATAATGTTAGTGTCATTGCCCGTACGATTTGGCAAGTGATTTTTTTGAAATTTGTTTGAACAATAAAAAACACGAGATTGCCACTGTAGTATCAAGTTAGTGGAATAATTTTGAATTATTATCTAGTTTGAATAAAATATACAAGCCCTATAAGCCTTACAGATGTATACTGGTGATTTTACTGTCGCAAAAATCTGTTTTAATGAATCAGCTCCATGTTGCCAGTAAAAGGTCATCTGCAGCAGTGGACCCACTTATATAGTCATTTGCAAAACGGAAAATACAGGCGGGCCATTGCCTGGTTCCATGTTCATCAGTGTCTAATTACTACTTGATCTTGGTTTTTGGCAATAATCTATTGTCTAGATAAAGAAGTTTCCACACAAAAAAGATGCTGACAAACTTTTATAAATCTTGCTCATGGTAATTTAACCTTGAAGGAATATCACTTTTGTTGATCACATCTGCTTCACTGATCAATTGTTTTGTCTAGGTGTCATAATTCTCAGAGATAGAAATGTATTAGATATGGGAATTTTTGATTTAAAAGAGGAAGTTAAGGTTTGAACTGTCAAACAGTGTAAATATTTACACCATGGTTTCCAGAGGTAAGTCAGCAATAAAACAATTTGCAGATAGAGGCACACATTATACAGCATCAATATTTGATAAACCATTATAAGCATGGAATACAAATCCCTTGGATTCTAATTATAAAACAGCTTTTACTCAGCTATAGGCATGCTGCTGCATTGTCTGGTGTCTATAATCAGTTAATGGTTATCAACTCGGTGGCAAATAAAGTGTTTACCATAATTCAATCCTGATCTTTCTGAATCTTGTCGTTTATATAACTATATGGTGTAACCTTGAACTTTGTGTTATGATATATTAAAATCATAAGTTGTCTCCAAAATTACAACTTAATTATTTTGATGTGATAAATATTTTATGAAAATGACCTTAATTTTCAATACATTGAACCACATTATTAACGTGGCGTGATGATTGTTTCAGCGTGAGTAAGGTTGTTGCAGCGTGAGTAAGGACTTTTCAGCGTGAGTAAGGACGTTTCAGTGTGAGTTTTTGTCTCACGCCGTGAGAGCTGGTAACCCTGTTATTATGTTAATGGCATTGTAACACATAGGTATGACATAGACCTTTGTGTGAAAGCATGCTATAACATTGACCTTTGCATTACAGTTTTAACCTTGACCTTTCTTTACAGCACTTGACCTTTGTACTAAACATGTTGCAACCTTGACCTTTACGTTACAGCTCAGAGCCACCTGGAGAGAATGAGTCGATACTGGCCAATGGTGATAGGGGAGACAATTATCTTCAATATGGCTTCAGTGAGTATGCGCATATGGCTTCCATTGATAGTGGGCCGGCAGTATTAAAACCAGAAATCAAGAACATTCAAGCCAATCCCACTCTAAGGATAGGTTTTGCATAGTCATAGTCAGATGTTTTTTTCATTTATGCAAACTTATATGGCTTGCAGCAATATTTTGATTTTGGGTCTCGTTCAAGGAATTGTTGTGAAATCCTATTTTTTGGGGCATAAAGATGTTAATTGGTTCAGAATATGCATATTAAAGCTTTGGTAAGTATTACATCATGAAAATGGTTTTCTAAATAAAATAAGTTTCCATAGAATCAGAGGACCTCTATTACAGTATGTTTGTTTGTTTTTAGCACATAGACCCATTGCCCACTCTGATTGTGAAGGAGACATTGGATGAAGATGATGTCATTGAGTGTCGTAAGGCCATCTACCATGTCGTTGGAATGGAGAGTCGAAATGAGGCTCTGCCAATCACATCCAGTGGCTCCAGGGCTAAAGGTCCAAAGAGGTAAACTTCATTTAATCATCAAGCTAAATTCATGCAATCACACTCAACTTCTTCTGTACTCAATATACTACATATGGAAGGATTCATATAGCAGTTGCTGGGTCTGTTTTCCAGTTTTTAGATAGAAAAATATTTTCAAAACTGGAATTTCAGAAGTTAATAAAAAAAACTGTTTATGCAATTATGTATAAAAAACCACATCATATACAAAAAACGTGTTAAGTTTGTAAAACCAATAACTGGTTGGATCAAATGTGAATTTGGCATCATTCTTAGTTCCTGTGATTGAACCCAGCTAACACTGGACTATTTTGATTGGCTGCGTCATGTTTTGCTCCCTCTTGGCTGGGTTGGTTGATGGCACCACCATGGACAGTCTCCTTGAACACCATCCTCCATGAGAAACTTGAACATGATTGAGGCATGAGAATTTAATCTATAATCATTATTGTTGTCATGTTGTTTTATCCCAGCACCGGCAAACATTCATGTTACCCTTGTGTATTTTTGTCAACCTTTCAAATTTTTCATGGGGAAAACCATGTTGCAAAGTTATTGGACAAATTAATAGTGCAACATGCTATAGTTTAAGCTTCAATGAATTCATTACTGAAAACAGAGCTGTTTTAAGAAGTAATTGGTGGAATATAGGGAATATCCTTCAGAAATAAAGATGGCACGTAGGCACATAGTTTATGATATTGTGACTGGACACCATAAAGATCTGAGCTAGTTTTAATGAGATAAAAAGGACCTACGTACCACTATAGTGTAGGTCCCTGATGCATTGATGCCCTTCTTGTTTTACATATCACACTGTATAAACTGTTAAAATAAGTTTATGTAAACATCCTTGTGATTGGACAGGGATGAGCAGTATCGACAGATGTGGTCAGAGCTAGAGGCATTGGTGGGTGCTCATGCCTCAACGTCGCCCATGCATCAACGCATTCTTGATTGTATCTTGGACTGTAAGAAAACTGACGACTCTAAACCATCACCAAGGAAGGGAGAAAAGTCAGTAAAGGAGGAAAAAATGGACGTTGAAAGCCAGGCAGAACAATCATGGAAAGAACTAGAAAAGTAATATTTTTGTTATGTTATTTTGAAGCAACACAATCATCAAACCTACAAAAATGTTTTGACCATTATTTTGCCTTTTATTTTGCCTTTCTTCAGTTGAACTGAGACTTCTCATTATTAAGAGATCCTCTGAACATATGGACCCCTTACTTCAAGTTTAATTTATTAAGGTTATACCATTGTTTCTTCTGTGAAGTCTTGTTTTTAAGTTCAGACACTAGTTTCTGGTTAGAAATCTTGAAATTATGGTCTGTGGTAAACATGTGGAATTCAAAACATCAATAAAAAAAAATCAAAGATTCTGTAGTGTTAATCAGTGGCCCTCGAGCTCTCTTCTGTACATGTGTTGATGGGCGGTTAAGAATGCGATAACAATAAGATTTTTCAGAGAAACATACCAGTAGAACATCAAAAACTATTAATGCGTAAGAATATGTGAAATTCTATCCATAGATACGAGAAGATGACAGAGAGGGAGAAACAGGATGCCAACAAAGCCGATATTGCCCCACAACCAAAACGTCAGAGAACTGGGCTGGAGGGCCCCTTCACACCCACTGGGGGTAACTAGGGAATTTTGTCACTTCAACTTGCTTACTGTACTTCAGACTAAGTCTGCTTCATAACCATAATTTGTGTTGCAGAGCAAGAATTCATTATGTTACTGTAAAGCTGTGGAATGTTGCACAATTTCTTCATCAATGGGCCAAATATAAGACTTGTTGTTCAAACCCTGTATTTCTAAAACAGACATTTATGAAATATAATATATTGTCTTATTCAGCAGTTCTGCACAATTTCTCCCTTAAAAATAACAAACAAAAATCAAACTTGTTGTTCAAACCATGATATGTCTTAAACAGTAAATTCTGAAAGATTTTGTTTCTCAAAAGCAGCAGGTCCACAGAACCTCCTTTCTTTGTGGACCAATAGGATAAAATCAGTACACTCAAGAAGGCACGAGGAGTTCTCAGGTCGACAGGAAAGTGGCGAAGGCATCGCGGAGCTGTACAAACATTTAAACGAACCTAAGGAGACTGGGTAGGTATCTTGTAATCAAAAACTTAAGGAAAACAGGGTAGGATGAGTTGTGCAAGCACTAAGAAATGGGGTAAGCATCTTGTCAATGTCAATAAATTGTTCAAACATATGAACATGAATAGCCATCAAGAATAAGGTTAATATTTTATAGAAACTCTCACGTTTTCTTGAGGCATTGTCATAATGAATTAACAAACTGGCAAAAGATGAAGTAAAGCATACTTATTTTTACAAAGCTCACCGACTGTGTGTTATAAAAAGAATAATATTCAGGACAGAAAATGTAACAAGTACATTACAGACTACAAACATCTGTGAATTTATAGAATAGAATTGGATAAAATGTCTCAACTGTTTTAAGTTGAGAATTTAACTTCTAGGACAAAAAAAATGCCTGATTAATAATAAGGATAGAGTTGTAGAGTAATGATAGAGAAATGACCATAGTAACAACACAACTACTTACAGTTTTAATTTCATCCTTCCAATTTTAAAATCATTATCTTTCTGGTGGATATACATAAAAACTGCTTTATTGACCCAGTCACTGGTCTTGTTAGGTCATGTGCAAGCCCTGTAATGGGTATTTCTGTGATTCGTGTAAAATTACTGAAAAATTAATGTCATTTTTTCATTCCTTTCAGGGAACAGACAAAGATATAAAGTCTTAATACAAAAACAAGTTTGGGTTGATCTTGTAAGGAATTTTCCAACATAATGAACTGTGGTAAAAATATTTGGTGTTGATGTGAATTACCCCTCAGGAGGTTGATATTTAGATTACGAAAAATTGTTATCATTTGTTTAGAATGCTTAATTATTCAACATTTCGAATATTTATCCATTTAAACTGTTTGTTCAGATATACAAGACTTATTCCACAGCTGACAGAATAACAGAACATTTACAGAACATTATTGAACTTCCCTTCTCACTGACTCTATATTATGAACAAGAATTTTTTTGTTCATTACCAGTGAACTGGATCCCTGGAATGCGTCTTTTTAAGTGAATTCGTCTGTTTTGTTTATAAGAAACAAAACTGTTTGCATGGACATTATTATCAGGACTTTTTAGTGTTCCTGTATATTATGTGTGGCTGACAAAGTTCCCATGTTACAGCCTCAACCGATTTCTAGCAGTATGACTGTCATTTATCATGATCATCTTCTAAAGAACATCATCTACGAAGGACAAACTAATGTACCCTGAAACAACAATATTGTAATGACCATATGTTTAGTCAGAGACGTAGTATACGTCTTTGGTTTAGTACATGTTTATGGCTCACTAAACATGAAACAAATAAAAACATAATTTTACAAGAAATAATGTTTGTTTCTTTTTTTCATAACTTAAGTTCCACAAATTGCAACATTTTGCAGTAAGAGAGCGATGATACGCAACGTTGACAACAAATACAAAAGATATTGAGTAGGCACTTTTAACAAAACATTTTCAGTCCTGCATGTATATGTGACATATGTGTCATTTTTTTTTTCATTTCACACTTGACCCCAGAGCCTGTTCTAAAAATCTTGAGTTTCTGGATATTTCTTTGTGTCTTTATAAACAGAGAGTTTCAGTGTCTGCCATGATCATAGACCTGTTTCACTGACATGCCTCCCGAATTCAGCAAAAGACATCTTAGCAACGTATTTTGCAGAACATTTTCCCCTCCCCACAGTGTCTACAGGACGATTTCTTCATTCTCTTTGGTGTCTCCAAGGTTTCTGTTGTAGTTTTATAGTAATTTTGAGTTGCTGCTTTTGCATTGTAATAAAGAACATACAAGATGATGTTAGTAAGAATAACACAATTTTAAAAGCTTGAATACAGAATATTTCCCTCGCTTGTATATTATAAATTGAGAGTTGCATGGACACTTCCACATACTGTACTATTCTTAGAAGACTATCACTGTCCATATTAGGATAGAAACCACCCTGTAATAACTAAAGTCAGTAGTTTGAATTTTTAAAAAGTAATGAAAAACTTCATTAAGGATTTTAAAACATAATTAGACTCATTTGTTTGGACAACATACATGCAAAACATCAGATTATGTTGAAGTCAATCTAAAGCATTATGTTTGAATAGGGAATATATACCGGTGTTTACCGGAATCGTCTCCTAGAATCGTGTAAAGATTTGATAATAACAAATACCAATATGTGAACGATGTATGTAGTATGGTCAACTCAGTTTTACGACACTTTCTATTTTACATAAAAGCACGTAAAGACCGGACAGGGACAAGAATAGTTCACCCTAGGTCGAGCACCACGAATACCTATTGTAGATATTAGACGTAATTTGACCTAAGCGATGAATAACAGCTGCAATCAGAGAGGGTCATATACACGTTAATGGTACAATGACAGTGTTGGGGCTTTATCGTTGGTTTGTTGCCACGTATTGTACATCATTCTACCTGTCCACCACTACCTGGTGTAGATGTTAGACTTATAATTAAGTTGACCGTTACGATCAATAGCAGATGCAATCAAGGAGGGTCGTATACATGTTTATTGTAAATGTTGGTGCTTTATTCATATGATAATCCCAATAAAGAGACGCACTTTGTATATCAGGTTATTGTTGTAATTGGGAAATGCTAATAAGGTTTAAAACACAACAAAACACTACATGCTGGCGCAAGTGCATACTACCGTATGCAGATAGAAAATATCTTGTTTCCATTCATTTGCCACCGATTTTTAATGAAGTTTGTTATGTTTTTCCGTTTTGTTTTCGATGTATCCCAAGTTCCTGCCGGGTTTTCTATATATTCTGATTGCCGCTTTTGTCCATGTGTGTCAACACTGTGCTTGTCTGTTTCCTCGTGTTGCTTTGTACCAAGTCGGAATTAGTAAACATGTATACAATTATATTAGTAGGACGCCACGTGCACTGCAATGGTACAAACACGATAACAATAGGCATGTCATTAATTCTATGTCAACCAATACAATAAATAATAGTTTGTTTACAACCGTAATTGTACTTAAGTGTACACTGTCTAAATAATAGTGGCTTGACGTGGTCAAGGATATGCTAATAGTAAATGGTACTGCTCACAACAGTTTTGTTATTCGAATATGTAATACAGTGAGTTCAAATACGGGGTATTCTTTTGAGACCAGTAGTTATTGCCACCAGGCAAATAGCAATACTGGAACATATTAATAGGATGACCAGTCTCTGTCCAATCTATCATGAAGGATTGCATGCGAAAAGTTCAGACAAGCATTCCTATCATTTCAGTAATTGCCCATTATGTGTCGTATATAACAACATAAACAAGTGATAATCTTACCAGCGTTAACGTTGATACCATAATAACGTTCCGCATACTTCAGAAAAAACCAGGATGACTACGATTTTACTTTTTGTTTCAAATGACTGAGAGGGTTTTACTAACACCGTATAGATATTTCTAAATCGTATTGTACCAGAGATATGTATCTTAATATAATAAAGTCTGACTGCATTTTTATGTAAATTTCCTCGTTTTTCCTTTCGTTTTTTAATTATCCTTAAAAATCGTACATGACGCTATCCCTTTCTTTAAATAGACAGATTTATTTTTTAAATGTCAATTATTTGAGTTAGTGGTTTTTTGCAGTTTAATGTTTTCTTCTTGAACATTAACACCGCACACTGCAACTTAAACGGGGTTGGGGTGGAGACCTGAATTTATCAAACAAACCTTAGTGCATTAATGGAAACAAAAACCCTTTCTCGAGGAAACTTTTTTCAGTTGATGGTCGCCCGACGGCGTCGTCGTATCACCGCGATGTAACAGACAAGCTATGATGTCCTGGTATATAAGGTAGACAATTAAACGGGATTTTTTATTCAAATAAAGAAACTTTTCTTGATAAAGATACAGCTAATATTTCCCACGGGGATGTTTCACATAGTCCGCTGTTGAAAAGTTATGAAACTTAAATAGATTGACAAACAGGACTCTTTATTTTCGGGGCACTTTTTTTATTGAATTGTCGATGTTCCTAATTCGGTGGAATTAAAACCCTGTCGATGACGTGGATGACACCATTGTTAACAATGATATCAAAGCCTTTTATCAAGGCACCATTGATCACCACATTTCCTGAAAAGAAAATAAGAAAAAGATTCCTGCATCACTGAGTAATCTTTATTAGGACTTAACTGATGTACCCTAGTTTTAGTTTTGGATTAACAAATCGTTTTTCCTACCGTTTTTTTTTTAATATTTAAAGACTGACCAAGATATCTCTCTCCGAAATTACGTGCAAAACCTGAAAACTAAGTAATGTAATAATCGACAAAAAAAAAGTGATTGCGCGTTGTTTAAAGGTTTTGTCCTATCTCTCATAGATAAATAAAATTCGTTAACTACGGATAAGATATAGATTATGGTGATTAAAAGATCGACCTGTTGAGTTAGGACCTATGCACATGCAAAATAATGCATAGAATATAATAACAATAATGAGTTACTTGTATAATGATTATAAAGTACAGTTCGTACCTTATTCTGTGAATGCCGATAAAAGCATTTCCTCATTCAAAACATGTAAAAGGTAATTAAGCTGCAGTGGATACTGTCACCTGTTACGCGCTACTTCAATCATTTATCAAGCATAATTCATCACGTTTTAAAAGCGTTGATAGTTTGGTGGGATAGGAAAAGGATATCAGACTGATAGATAGACATCTATGTAAATAGATCAATGTATTTCAATAACGGATTTCCAGGTTCATGAAAACTAAAAGCAAGATTGCCGTATTATCTTCTTTCCTTACCTTCCATTACAGTAACAATGAGCTGTTTATCATTAGCTGTTGTAAGTCGTTGGTTGTCATACAAACCTTCACTAAAAAGGGTGTCCGTCAAGACATGATACTTGACCAAATCTGCAAAATTAATCCTTGTGTTAAATTAGTTTGAAATGCAGGATAGTATCATTCAAAGCGCGACAACTCTTAACCTTTTCACAATTTTTGCTGTCTGTTTTAACTGAAACAGAAATAAATTTTCCTCCTTATTAAACACGTTCTCTAGATAAAAAAAACATACACATATTTAGCTATCTTACCGACGAGGCCTGTTTTGTTTAACATCAGCTTTTCGAGAAAACCGTCCGGAAGTTTACCAAAGGCTATATTCATCGGCGCGAATAGTGTAAATGGTCCACCTTCAACACACACGAAACCATCAAAACAAAATGTTATTGTAATGTACACGTAGTAGATAACATTTGAATGCCTCCTAGATTCTTTCACAGACTTTTCCGTGTTTCTCACATAAGACATAAACGGATATAACATGATACATGTAGAGACAAGAATAATGTTCACCTTCAAAATGCGGGTAACGTAAAACACCAGGTGAAAACCGAAGTGTCAAAACACTCATACTTGATAACATTTGGGCAGAATATGAACAAAGGAGGGGTTTACATGGATACCATTCAAACATTACAGGGAGACTAAGACCAGGTATTCCGGGATTGTAAGCGTGTCAATTGACGACACCCACCATGTTAATCTAGGTTACATCCAAGTAATGTTACGTTCTCAAACCAAGAACTGGGGAAGTGACAATAATTCAACAAGACACACTAATGAGCCTATAAAAACATTAATTTGACAAAGAGATAGCCTATTTCTATATGATGGCGACCATTAACTTGTTTATAGTCTCCATCAACCTTCCACTGTCGAAGTCTCCTGTTGGTAGTTTGTCTGTCAGCAGTCCACTTCTATAAGCTTCCAAACTCCATCCAGACTTTCGAATGGTAAGCTGTTTGTGAAAAGTGTGTGAAACCCCATCTCTGCAGCCGCTTTAAGTTTTACACTTATTTATTTAATAAACTAGTGTTGTTTCACTATGTAATGTTTTATCGTGAATCTTTTAACATTCATTTCTTACTTTTATTTTGGCAAACATTGTAGGTCTATTTTATGTGAAGCATTTTAAACATTTCTTTCTACAAATTTATACGATGTTAATATTTGTTTTAGTATATTACTAGTTTTATCAAATATAATATCATAAAATTATGTATACAATGATAGGTGCTGGAAGTTAAAAGGGACATACCAGAAAATGTGTGAAGTAAGTCGTTAGGTTCATTTTGAAAAACGTTAATCTGTAGAGGAAAACTTCAAAATAAACATCTCTGTGAAATGCTTGTTTTAACGGTGCCTGACACGTATACCTTTGAAGAATTCTGTGAGATTGGCATGCTGTATGACTTCAACGATCCGTGATAATGTTGGAGTGGTTGTGAGGTATTCTAGGAGGGAGAGTGTGGGGATTGGGTACATCGCTCTCTGAAGCATGTGTACCACGCCATTTGACGCAGACAGGTCAGGAAGAGTAACGTCCACACCATCAGCTGTGTATGTCTGCATAACAATTAACTTCTTAATTAAAATATATTTATTCTACAAAGTCGACGATATCACAAAGAAAAAAATAGTTTGTAACAATAATGCTGTGCACCGAGTATTTTTGTTGATACCTGTTGAAATCCAGTGACCCTATTTTTTTAAATAAAAATATTGGCATATAGAAAATAATGCATTGCTACAACTTATGTGGTAATTATTTAAATAAATGATACAATCATCGAAATATAATGCGTTTGTAAATATAGCTAACTTATGTTTTATGATGACGTTTTGTATATAGATACAGTTTTAATACGGTTTAATGTTGTAGTTGTGAAGAGTTCAATAAAATCCTACTGTTGTATCAGCAAACAAATAAGCGGTGTTTAAATAACAGGTAACTAATGGTTTGTTTTTATTCTATCGGAATTTTTATCATTGCATCAAATTATCAGTCTTTCAAACCTTATTGTATCTTACCGTTCCTATGATGTTCATCCTGACCTTAGTCGCCCCATGCAAGGTAGCAAATGTGACGTCATTCTTAAACTTCTCTGACTCCACTTGCCCCTTGACCACATGGAATGTGAACAGGAAATTCACAAATGTCTTGTTTTTGTTTAGCTCATCGTATACACTTGGGGGTAACCAGTCAAACCCATCGTCTACTGGTGCAAACAATGTGTAGTTACCTACAAAATTATATCATTATTATAGCAGATCATTACATATATATTTCAATAAAATGTTAAAGCATATAGCATGGTGTGATCTAAATATACATATAAACAAATCACATGAATATTAGAACGATTCAGTTTATGTGATGCAGAAGTATGCTTCAATTACACAATTAATGTTCAAACATGTAAGGATATCGAATAAACGGTTCAAATTTTCCACTTTCAATGTACACTTCAGGACCACAGCAAGTTTCATGCTTGTTACCTTCACTAAGTAAAAGAGATTCTAGATATGTTCCATTAAGTAGTCTTCGCAGGATCGTAGCACCGTTCTTAGCGGCTACGTCTAAAACGGTAGTCTGTTCCGAGGTAGCAAGTGTGCATGTTATAAACAGCACGACAAACTGTAAAACTTCCATTATCAGAACGATATAGTGCCAGTATGCCAACGCTTAGTAAACAAAGATAGCAAAGGGTTCATGTCGAAGAAAGGTTAACAAAGATTATTATTTTTGTCGTGTTGAGAAGTAGATTTTTCGTTAGATGTCCGGTCAATCAAATATGAATAAACAAAACAACAACAGCAACGAAGTATTACAAAAATAAATACAGAGATTGTTTCCATTTCAACATATTTGTTAATAATTTAATGACAAAGTTGAAAAGGTTATCAAAGTTGACCTCTGCTATCACTGTACTGGCTGATAACGCTGTAGCTATACATAGATATAAGAGTTAGTAAATGCGTGTCATTATAAATCGTGTACATAATCAAAGGAAGAAGGATTAGATATTACTTATCTTTATAGCATCATGATGTACAGATACGATATGACAAAGGCATTTAGGGGATGTTGTTTTCATTTTTTCTTAGGGTAAAATACCATGGACTACAGCATATTCATTGTAATACGGTAGATGAATCAGTTTCATATATACCCAACTAAGCCTGCTGTATCCGAGGTTAAAGACGAAGAGGCATCAGTGTGACTTCAGATGTAACACAACACAGGACTTATACCATTGAGTTATATTAGTCACAACACAGGACTTATAACATTGAGTTGTACTAGTCACAACACAGCTAGAAATCATAACATTTAGATGTATAAGTCACAACACAGGACTTATAATATTGAGTTGTATTAGTCACAACATAGAACTTATAACATTGAGTTGTATTAGTCACAACACAGAAATCATAACATTTAGATGTATAAGTCACAACACAGGACTTATAACATTGAGTTATATTAGTCACAACACAGGACTTATAATATTGAGTTGTATTAGTCACAAAACAGGACTTATAACATTGAGTTGTATTAGTCACAACACAGGACTTATAGCATTGAGTTTTATTAGTCGAATATATTCACGCATTCATGCAAATGTGTGCTTCAAGATCTTCCTTCGCTGCAAAACATATCAACAATTTTGAAAAAGCATACATCTTTTGTTATTTTCATGAAAAATATCAATGTTTGTCTAAGGAAATACATTTTACGTTATTACCGTCTAAACAATTTGTAAACAAAGATCTACTTTTAATTGTAAAATTGCAACTAAATGCCTTATGTATTGTATGACTTTGCGGGGTTTTCGTCATGACAAAATACAGGGTTAAAAGGGTGTATGTTTCACTTCATACAGGTATTTCATTGCAATATGATATCAAAATGATATTTTGGTGATATCCAGGTGATTTTTGTGTTATTGGACAATCTTGTTTGTATAAGATACGGTACGTGATTAAGATTACTAGACATGACCTAACTAAACGTACTGGTCTGCTTGAGTTAATATCGTATTCTGAGATTTTCTTCACAATTCTAAGTTCAAGCAAAACCTTGACATATCTCGCTATACATTAGCGTAACCGGAAGAGTCATGTATAGAGTCATAGTAGCACGTGTTATCGTATTCCTACTTTTAAAATGCTCATATTTACTTTCACAATTTTCGATGAATTGGAAACATTCACTTTTTCTGTCTTCCATTTGTGTGCGTAAAAAATAGAGTACGTTAATTATACCATCTTTTTTTAATTATTTTTGTAAGGGTATTTACATGTTCTAATAATAATAATATACATCATTTGATATAGCGCCCTATCTAGCTAACTTTAGCCACTCTAAAGCGCTTTACGGTCCATAGATATACAATTAATACAATTAGCATATACATAAATCGATACAATTTTTGAGGAATTCGCAGGAGCTGCCTAATCAGGCGCTAACTACTAGTCCTATGTCACCTGGCTGATAATTCCTTATGTGTGTATGCCTGCGTGTGTGCTGTAGATGTAATGTGTTCTTTTTGTAGTGGGACCGTGCTTCCAACGGCATCATTTAATCTATAGACCACCTCACTTGAATGCTACAGCACAGATACCGCAACATCCACTCATGTTCTAATTATTTTCATTGTATCTGACTTGCATTCAGCATGTAGCTGGTCGTCTAACCATTGTTTGACAACAATAAAGTCATGTTACATGTGTTTATGATCGTTTCTGACTGAACCGACAGTCTAATCTGTGTCTGCCATACCTATATATATGTACCACGAGTTTTTGAGTGTCCTAGACCTTACCGATTGTCTAGTCAGTATCTGCTATCACCGAAACATGCTCCAAGTGTCTCAGACCTAACCGGTTGTCTTACCAGTGCTTGTTATTACAATGTTCCAAGTGTTTCAAGGTTCTGAATCAACCAACCGTCTAACCATAATTTTCAATCATTAAATACATACTCAAAGTATTTTTGAGTGTCTCGGACAAAACGCATTGTTTTATCAATGTTAATTATCACCAATGTCGTTTTCTAAGTGTTTTGAGAGTTTAAGACCGAGCCGATAGTCTTGCCGGTAACTGCCATCATGAGAGCAATGATCAAAGTGCCTTTTAGTGTCCTAGAACAACAAGTCAGTGTCTGCCATCAGTAAAGTCATGTTTGAGGTACAAATGTATCAAAGATTTTGGTAACCGGTACGTTATCTTGAATTTGACGGAAAACAGCGTTAGCTGAAGGAAACAACTACTCTCTCGATGTGCCTGCTTTTATGTCCCGCATATTTTGGTCCTGAAGTTGAGGAGCGTCGTTTCTGTCCATATTTATGGTGTTTCGTCGATTTCAATGACTATTTTCACGTAGAGGATTTCAATTCTAATGTTGTGTAGACATAAAGCATGGCTTACAGTGTGCACATTACTGCACGGAACTACCTTATGAACTAACAGCATGACTTATCCACACTGATCTGTATAAACTAGACCAGCTACTTAAACCGTTACGATTTTATTCATATGAAAGAAAAATCATCGGTGCATTTGTCTCAAAGAAAGTAAAAACAATTAAGTTGATGTTATTTTATTTACAAATATTAGTACAAAAAGGTTTTTATTTACAGTTGCCAAAGATATATTTCTCATCTTTTGTATCTGGCGGATAAAGATGGGGGGAGAAGGACAGTATCGATGACGTGGATCACACCATTCGTTACAGTGACGTCAGCAGTCGTGACCTTGGCGTCATTTATTATCACATTGGCTGCAAAACAAATATTTGCTATTAACTATTGTTGATGAAAATAAGATATTTCTAACGATCAATGTTACTGAAATATTTCATAAGTTGATTAACACACTAATTGATCAGGTCCATGATAATGATTAGACTGATTCGAAATCGGCAAAGAATAATAAAAACAATGTCTTTGAAAACAGACTGGACGAGCACGCTGCCAGGCTGTCTAGTTTAAAAGGCTGGCAATCAATTCGCTTCCTTTTTACACTATCACAGATGTCCAACATTTAGTATGGATACCCTGAGTTTTTCTTTTTTTCTGTTCTGCTGTAAGACAGCTGTAAACATCTTTGAGTTGTACTTTGGACATTGTTATTCGATTCCTACTCAAAGGCAAGGTATTGACAACAATGAGGTACTACTGAATCATAAGATGATGAGGATTCAAAAAGGGATACAATTTTAATACAAGCAACATTTAAAAGTGAAACGTAATATACACACGAATATCGTTAAGTATAACAGATATTGTGCAAGACAGCATATACAGTCTGACTTAATAAACAAAGCTACCTCCCTGAGTTCAAGCTTATATTGACTAAATAGCGGAGTAGCTGAACTGACAATTATAAAGAGAAAGTTTAATTGTTCTCGTGATCCTTGGTTATTAAGTTTTAACTGTATCTTTAGAAGACTGACCTCCTTCAATCTTGACAGTCAGTTCCTGTTCGTTGGCGGCCTTCACCCTTTGGTTGTTACTGAGACCGGCACTGTACACTGTGCCTAGGATGACGTGGTACTCCAGTACATCTAAAAATAGAAACCAACGAGGATTTTTACTGGTTACAGAAAAAAAAAATATGTGGTTAACTTGTCTCACGTTAAATTACCATTTTCTTGAATGAAACTCTTTCAGGGTTGTTCTGTGCCACAGTACACCTAATATTCAGCCAAATTATAACGAAGAGTTAATACCACGAAACTTTCGTGGACAGTTTGTTATTTTGCTTTTACGACCTTTTTAAAATAAATGAAACTTTCGTGATTGATCGGTGTGGCTTGACACCTGCAGAACTTAAACATGTGCCACTGATTAACGTTAATTTTCGTGGTTATTTTCTGTATTGATTAAGGGTTGCGGTCTTGGTGGTGATCTACTAATTGACTAGGGCGGTCTTGTTTGTGATCTACTCACTGACTACGGCGGTCTTGTTGGTGACCTACTCACTGACTAGGGCGGTCTTGGTGGTGATCTACTAATTGACTATGGCGGTCTTGGTGGTGATCTACTCACTGACTAGGGCGGTCTTGTTGGTAATCTACTCACTGACTAGGGCGGTCTTGTTGGTGATCTACTCACTGACTAGGGCGGTCTTGTTGGTGACCTACTGATTGACTAGGGCGGTCTTGTTGGTGACCTACTTAAAGTCTAATGCGATGCTGATGGTGCCCTACTTACTGACTAGGGCGGTTTTGTTGGTGATCTACTCACTGACTAGGGCGGTCTTGTTGGTGATCTACTCACTGACTAGGGCGGTCTTGTTGGTGATCTACTCACTGACTAGGGCGGTCTTGTTGGTGATCTACTCACTGACTAGGGCGGTCTTGTTGGTGATCTACTCACTGACTAGGGCGGTCTTGTTGGTGATCTACTCACTGACTAGGGCGGTCTTGTTGGTGATCTACTCACTGACTAGGGCGGTCTTGTTGGTGATCTACTCACTGACTAGGGCGGTCTTGTTGGTGATCTACTCACTGACTAGGGCGGTCTTGTTGGTGATCTACTCACTGACTAGGGCGGTCTTGTTGGTGATCTACTCACTGACTAGGGCGGTCTTGTTGGTGATCTACTCACTGACTAGGGCGGTCTTGTTGGTGATCTACTCACTGACTAGGGCGGTCTTGTTGGTGATCTACTCACTGACTAGGGCGGTCTTGTTGGTGATCTACTCACTGACTAGGGCGGTCTTGTTGGTGATCTACTCACTGACTAGGGCGGTCTTGTTGGTGATCTACTCACTGACTAGGGCGGTCTTGTTGGTGATCTACTCACTGACTAGGGCGGTCTTGTTGGTGATCTACTCACTGACTAGGGCGGTCTTGTTGGTGATCTACTCACTGACTAGGGCGGTCTTGTTGGTGATCTACTCACTGACTAGGGCGGTCTTGTTGGTGATCTACTCACTGACTAGGGCGGTCTTGTTGGTGATCTACTCACTGACTAGGGCGGTCTTGTTGGTGATCTACTCACTGACTAGGGCGGTCTTGTTGGTGATCTACTCACTGACTAGGGCGGTCTTGTTGGTGATCTACTCACTGACTAGGGCGGTCTTGTTGGTGATCTACTCACTGACTAGGGCGGTCTTGTTGGTGATCTACTCACTGACTAGGGCGGTCTTGTTGGTGATCTACTCACTGACTAGGGCGGTCTTGTTGGTGATCTACTCACTGACTAGGGCGGTCTTGTTGGTGATCTACTCACTGACTAGGGCGGTCTTGTTGGTGATCTACTCACTGACTAGGGCGGTCTTGTTGGTGATCTACTCACTGACTAGGGCGGTCTTGTTGGTGATCTACTCACTGACTAGGGCGGTCTTGTTGGTGATCTACTCACTGACTAGGGCGGTCTTGTTGGTGATCTACTCACTGACTAGGGCGGTCTTGTTGGTGATCTACTCACTGACTAGGGCGGTCTTGTTGGTGATCTACTCACTGACTAGGGCGGTCTTGTTGGTGATCTACTCACTGACTAGGGCGGTCTTGTTGGTGATCTACTCACTGACTAGGGCGGTCTTGTTGGTGATCTACTCACTGACTAGGGCGGTCTTGTTGGTGATCTACTCACTGACTAGGGCGGTCTTGTTGGTGATCTACTCACTGACTAGGGCGGTCTTGTTGGTGATCTACTCACTGACTAGGGCGGTCTTGTTGGTGATCTACTCACTGACTAGGGCGGTCTTGTTGGTGATCTACTCACTGACTAGGGCGGTCTTGTTGGTGATCTACTCACTGACTAGGGCGGTCTTGTTGGTGATCTACTCACTGACTAGGGCGGTCTTGTTGGTGATCTACTCACTGACTAGGGCGGTCTTGTTGGTGATCTACTCACTGACTAGGGCGGTCTTGTTGGTGATCTACTCACTGACTAGGGCGGTCTTGTTGGTGATCTACTCACTGACTAGGGCGGTCTTGTTGGTGATCTACTCACTGACTAGGGCGGTCTTGTTGGTGATCTACTCACTGACTAGGGCGGTCTTGTTGGTGATCTACTCACTGACTAGGGCGGTCTTGTTGGTGATCTACTCACTGACTAGGGCGGTCTTGTTGGTGATCTACTCACTGACTAGGGCGGTCTTGTTGGTGATCTACTCACTGACTAGGGCGGTCTTGTTGGTGATCTACTCACTGACTAGGGCGGTCTTGTTGGTGATCTACTCACTGACTAGGGCGGTCTTGTTGGTGATCTACTCACTGACTAGGGCGGTCTTGTTGGTGATCTACTCACTGACTAGGGCGGTCTTGTTGGTGATCTACTCACTGACTAGGGCGGTCTTGTTGGTGACCTACTGATTGACTAGGGCGGTCTTGTTGGTGACCTACTTAAAGTCTAATGCGATGCTGATGGTGCCCTACTTACTGACTAGGGTGGTCTTGTTGGCGACCTACTTACTGACTAGGGCGGTCTTGTTCTGCAGGAGTTCGTTAATGAGTCCTGGTGGTAGTTTATCAAATGCGGCATCCGTTGGAGCGAACAGAGTGAAGGGTCCGCCTGCCAAACAGATGTCAAGTTGTGGTGTTATCAATGTACGCTTATAAACATTATGTTATTAGTGTGTCATATCATAACAATATAGTTGTGATATTAATCATCGATGGAAACGTGATTTCAAGTTGCAGTCTATTTTTTACTCCAAAATAGGAAGACGTGTTGAATGTTTATAGAACGTTCAACAAGCTTACCATTGCGAAGAAACGACTGCAAAAGCTTTCATTCTGTCAAGAAATCATCTATTTTGTAAATACTTACTAAATGATTTCGGCGGAAAAGCGACTTTCAAGCTTGCCAGTAGTCTATACGATAATACAATCACAGAAATGGAGGAGACACAATGGACACCCACAGAAACCTGGAAGCGAAACCAGACGTTCCAGATTTTAGGTGTTAATTATTACATTGATCTTTCCTTTGTTCATAGTAATAGATTTGGTCGTTTTCAACGTCACAAAATACGTGCATTATTTACACTCGTTATAAACCTAAATCTGTGGTCGTCGAAAAAAAGGAATACTTTTGTGTTTGATATATCGGGATACATACGACACATGCCCTTAAGAAATATACACGTATGTGAATATGTACGATACCTTTGAAGAAGTCTATAAGATCAGCCATCGACACGATGTAGACGAGCTGGGAAAATGAGGGCGTGGCCGCGGCGTAATCCAGGAGGGACTGTGTTGGAAGTGGGTACAGGACCTCGTTTATCATATGTACCACACCGTTAGTGGCGAATTGGTCCGCCAGTATCACACTGGCGCCGTTAACAGTCACCTTCTGTAACAGGTAGATATACGTATGCAATTATAAAGTGGCTAACCTTGTCTGTTTAGTGGTTTACGTCCTCGACACAGTTTAGTTTAGGCACCACAAGTATCAAGACGATGTTCATGTAAATGATAAGGGTGCACACAGGTAGCACTTTTTTCGTTCTCATTGAAAAGCAGTAACCTATACATAGTTGTATGATAAGTATCCCTATAATCCGTACAACGAATGTTTCAGCGTAAAGGGAATTATTATAAATACGCAATCCAACAACATGGAAAATACATTCTGCTTAGGAGGTTCTACCATATTCTATAAACGCTTTAGGAAAACTATGATATTATCGGGAAATTTTGTTTGAAAAGAGAACAAAGAAGAAAAGTTTTTTAATACATCATTAATTAGTTATCGATCGAAACAAACCAAATGTTGATTTATTTTTTATTCGTCACATCTAGTCGTTCGAGGTAAAAAAAATCGAACATTCATTTTTTTTTAATTTATTGTAACTCATTTGTTGCTTGTTTGTCGATTGTTCTCCTGAAAGTCGAAGACAAAGGATTTATTTCAATAACTATTGAGGTAAGAATAAACAATATTATGTTCGTAAATGATTGTTAAAATATTAGCAGGTGGTACAGACTGTAAATAATGGTCGAGAGTGAAATATTTAGAATTATGATTACCGTACTTACTGAACCGTAAATGTTGACCCGCAGTTTTGACATTCCTTCCACGGTATCCACGACCATGTCGTTCTTCAGTTGGCCGGATGTGACGTTTCCACTGACCACGTGATAGGTCAGTACCTGTTTCAGCAACTCCTTGTCGCCTGACAGTTTGTCTAGGACACTCTGGGGCAAAGCTTTGAACGCCTTGTCCACGGGGGCAAACACAGTGAAAGGTCCTGAAGCGATAGAGATCCTGTTTATTATTTAGGGAGATAATTGAAAGTCTTTGTATACGGAAAATTAATATAGTACAATGTAAATATAGAGAGAGAATGTTTACTTATGAAAGGTCATTGATAGTTAAGACTGTAAAAATCTTACAGTAAGTTTGCCAAAGTACTAGAGATAGGAAAGTTGAAGGGTCATGCATTCCCTTTTTCTTTCAAACCAATGACCATGTATTATCCGCGGATGCATATCATAGAAACAATCTGTGGAAGCAGACTTTGACCTAGTTGTCTTCTTGGGCAAACAAGGTGAAAGGTCAGAAAGGTCAAACAGTGCTAAAGATAGTGTGTACTTGGTGGACAGCTCATAAAGCCTTATCCATTGGTGCAACAGGGTTAGCAGTCATGACATTGGGAGAAAGCTTGAAATGTCGAGTTCACAAAGGTAAAACAAGTGAATGGTCACCAAATTAGATAATCGTATTATTTATGTCTCGTCAACATTTCAAGTTGTGTCTTTTTATTAATATTTATTACTTAGTCAATGAAAATAAAACTAATTGTTTTAATGTAAGTTTATCTATTCATGTAAATAAACATTAGGTCATAAATATAGTATATATCCTCCTTGTGTATGATTAGTGTGCGAAAAAATGATGTTATGCTAAATTGCCAAGATTTCATGTTGCATAAATATTTGATATAGACATACAATGGTCAACATAAACACATCTCTCTCTCTCTCTCTCTCTCTCTCTCTCTCTCTCTCTCTCCCTCTCTCTCTCTCTCTCTCTCTCTCAAGTATGTGTTTGTTGTAAATTAATTTATGTATTATTAGAAATTGCATTATATTTATATGTTGTAAACCATTATGGAAAGGGCGTTTATAAGTTGCAATAACTTGTGTCCAATCCTTTTGTAATTATATTGCAATAAAATATGTTTAAACTTAAAAAGGACAACGGTCCTACCGATACACAAATGTTACTCCTATATAAGACTTTGTGCATAAAAGTCATTGTTTGTATGAATAGCTAAAGGGGGAGGGGGTTTGGAGCCGTAAACTATAAGACAGTATACTGAATATTAAAAAACACAACATTTTGTATGGTTACCTTCGCCGCTAAGAGTGTCCACCAAATCCGCATCCTTTACCAACGTGCCAAGGGTTTTACCTCCCAGCCTCTCAGCTGTCACTAAGACATTGTCCTCAGCGAATGCACTCCCACAGAGTAATAGCAATCCTAGAATGTGTGATCCGTCCATTGTGAAATGATTTTCTGATCTGATCGGTAAAGTCGGTCCGTTCCGTGTCTTGTACTATGTGCTGTGACGTGATTTTACACGTGTCACGCTCAGACTCGTGTTTGACTTTCTGGCGTTAGGTAAAAGTTGGTGAATTTGTGTCAACATTATCTTGACCTACGTATGTTTATGTCACATGTGGTCAGTATTCAGGTCATCTGACCACTCACGTGAGCTAACACAACAGATAAGGCCATGGATTCACAAATATTTGGATGCAATTGGTTATATACAATACATGTTAACTACTTATAACGTATTTAAGTAAGCTTTCTTGTCTAGGATCTATAATTCACTCTAATTCCAGTAGGTGAATCATGTCAATACTAAATAGCATAGGACTAGTTTATCAGGGATATTTTCATAACATTGTAATTTTCATGACTGTAACTGCAATGCTTATCAGTTACGCGAACTTTTTGGATCTTTCATAATTCCAAATTCACCGTTATGAACTTACTTAATATTGTATGAATGCAAATACAGAAAATAAAATACATGTATCTATCTCGAGTAGATGTTTTAGGTGTAGAGAAACACATGCCATACACGCCTGTGGTGGAGGGCAGCTCGGGGAGGTTGGGATAGGCTCCTGTTTTTGTATGTTTACTTGATCACGTTTGGTGTCTTTATACAGGTTTGTGGTGGAGGGGAGCTCGGGGAGGTTGGGATAGGCTCCTGTTTTTGTATGTTTACTTGATCACGTTTGGTGTCTTTATACAGGTTTGTGGTGGAGGGGAGCTCGGGGAGGTTGGGATAGGCTCCTGTTTTTGTATGTTTACTTGATCACGTTTGGTGTCTTTATACAGGTTTGTGGTGGAGGGGAGCTCGGGGAGGTTGGGATAGGCTCCTGTTTTTGTATGTTTACTTGATCACGTTTGGTGTCTTTATACAGGTTTGTGGTGGAGGGGAGCTCGGGGAGGTTGGGATAGGCTCCTGTTTTTGTATGTTTACTTGATCACGTTTGGTGTCTTTATACAGGTTTGTGGTGGAGGGGAGCTCGGGGAGGTTGGGATAGGCTCCTGTTTTTGTATGTTTACTTGATCACGTTTGGTGTCTTTATACAGGTTTGTGGTGGAGGGGAGCTCGGGGAGGTTGGGATAGGCTCCTGTTTTTGTATGTTTACTTGATCACGTTTGGTGTCTTTATACAGGTTTGTGGTGGAGGGGAGCTCGGGGAGGTTGGGATAGGCTCCTGTTTTTGTATGTTTACTTGATCACGTTTGGTGTCTTTATACAGGTTTGTGGTGGAGGGGAGCTCGGGGAGGTTGGGATAGGCTCCTGTTTTTGTATGTTTACTTGATCACGTTTGGTGTCTTTATACAGGTTTGTGGTGGAGGGGAGCTCGGGGAGGTTGGGATAGGCTCCTGTTTTTGTATGTTTACTTGATCACGTTTGGTGTCTTTATACAGGTTTGTGGTGGAGGGGAGCTCGGGGAGGTTGGGATAGGCTCCTGTTTTTGTATGTTTACTTGATCACGTTTGGTGTCTTTATACAGGTTTGTGGTGGAGGGGAGCTCGGGGAGGTTGGGATAGGCTCCTGTTTTTGTATGTTTACTTGATCACGTTTGGTGTCTTTATACAGGTTTGTGGTGGAGGGGAGCTCGGGGAGGTTGGGATAGGCTCCTGTTTTTGTATGTTTACTTGATCACGTTTGGTGTCTTTATACAGGTTTGTGGTGGAGGGGAGCTCGGGGAGGTTGGGATAGGCTCCTGTTTTTGTATGTTTACTTGATCACGTTTGGTGTCTTTATACAGGTTTGTGGTGGAGGGGAGCTCGGGGAGGTTGGGATAGGCTCCTGTTTTTGTATGTTTACTTGATCACGTTTGGTGTCTTTATACAGGTTTGTGGTGGAGGGGAGCTCGGGGAGGTTGGGATAGGCTCCTGTTTTTGTATGTTTACTTGATCACGTTTGGTGTCTTTATACAGGTTTGTGGTGGAGGGGAGCTCGGGGAGGTTGGGATAGGCTCCTGTTTTTGTATGTTTACTTGATCACGTTTGGTGTCTTTATACAGGTTTGTGGTGGAGGGGAGCTCGGGGAGGTTGGGATAGGCTCCTGTTTTTGTATGTTTACTTGATCACGTTTGGTGTCTTTATACAGGTTTGTGGTGGAGGGGAGCTCGGGGAGGTTGGGATAGGCTCCTGTTTTTGTATGTTTACTTGATCACGTTTGGTGTCTTTATACAGGTTTGTGGTGGAGGGGAGCTCGGGGAGGTTGGGATAGGCTCCTGTTTTTGTATGTTTACTTGATCACGTTTGGTGTCTTTATACAGGTTTGTGGTGGAGGGGAGCTCGGGGAGGTTGGGATAGGCTCCTGTTTTTGTATGTTTACTTGATCACGTTTGGTGTCTTTATACAGGTTTGTGGTGGAGGGGAGCTCGGGGAGGTTGGGATAGGCTCCTGTTTTTGTATGTTTACTTGATCACGTTTGGTGTCTTTATACAGGTTTGTGGTGGAGGGGAGCTCGGGGAGGTTGGGATAGGCTCCTGTTTTTGTATGTTTACTTGATCACGTTTGGTGTCTTTATACAGGTTTGTGGTGGAGGGGAGCTCGGGGAGGTTGGGATAGGCTCCTGTTTTTGTATGTTTACTTGATCACGTTTGGTGTCTTTATACAGGTTTGTGGTGGAGGGGAGCTCGGGGAGGTTGGGATAGGCTCCTGTTTTTGTATGTTTACTTGATCACGTTTGGTGTCTTTATACAGGTTTGTGGTGGAGGGGAGCTCGGGGAGGTTGGGATAGGCTCCTGTTTTTGTATGTTTACTTGATCACGTTTGGTGTCTTTATACAGGTTTGTGGTGGAGGGGAGCTCGGGGAGGTTGGGATAGGCTCCTGTTTTTGTATGTTTACTTGATCACGTTTGGTGTCTTTATACAGGTTTGTGGTGGAGGGGAGCTCGGGGAGGTTGGGATAGGCTCCTGTTTTTGTATGTTTACTTGATCACGTTTGGTGTCTTTATACAGGTTTGTGGTGGAGGGGAGCTCGGGGAGGTTGGGATAGGCTCCTGTTTTTGTATGTTTACTTGATCACGTTTGGTGTCTTTATACAGGTTTGTGGTGGAGGGGAGCTCGGGGAGGTTGGGATAGGCTCCTGTTTTTGTATGTTTACTTGATCCCGTTTGGTGTCTTTATACAGGTTTGTGGTGGAGGGGAGCTCGGGGAGGTTGAGATAGGCTCCTGTTTTTGTATGTTTACTTGATCACTTTTGGTGTCTTTATACAGGTTTGTGGTGGACGGGAGCTCGGGGAGGTTGGGATAGGCTTCTGTTTCTGTATGTTTACTTGATCACTTTTGTTGTCTTTATATAGGTTTGTGGTGGACGGGAGCTCGGGGAGGTTGGGATAGGCTCCTGGTTTTGTATGTTTACTTGATCACGTTTGGTGTCTTTATACAGGCTTGTGGTGGAGGGGAGCTCGGGGAGGTTGTGATAGGCTCCTGTTTTTGTATGTTTACTTGATCCCGTTTGCTGTCTTTATGCAGGTTTGTGGTGGAGGGGAGCTCGGGGAGGTGGGGATAGGCTCCTGTTTTTGTATGTTTACCTGATCCCGTTTGGTGTCTTTATACAGGTTGGTGGTGGAGCGGAGCTCGGGGAGGTTGGGATAGGCTCCTGTTTTTGTATGTTTACTCGATCACTTTTGGTGTCTTTATACAGGTTTTTGGTGGAGGGGAGCTCGGCGAGGTTGGGATAGGCTCTTGTTTTTGTATGTTTACTTGATCCCGTTTGGTGTCTTTATACAGGTTGGTGGTGGAGCGGAGCTCGGGGAGGTTGGGATAGGCTCCTGTGTGTCTTTATACAGGTTTGTGGTGGAGGGGAGCCCGGGGAGGTTGAGATAGGCTCCTGTTTTTGTATGTTTTCCTGATCCCGTTTGGTGTCTTTATACAGGTTTGTGGTGGAGGGCAGCTCGGGGAGGTTGGGATAGGCTCCTGTTTTTGTATGGTTACTTGATCCCGTTTGGTGTCTTTATACATGTTTGTGGTGGAGGGGAGCTCGGAGATGTTGGGATAGGCTCCTGTTTTTGTATGTTTTCTTGATCACTTTTGGTGTCTTTATACAGGTTTTTGGTGGAGGGGAGCTCGGCGAGGTTGGGATAGGCTCTTGGTTTTGTATGTTTACTTGATCCCGGTTGGTGTCTTTATACAGGTTTGTGGTGGACGGGGGCTCGGGGAGGTTGGGATAGGCTTCTGTTTCTGTATGTTTACTTGATCACTTTTGTTGTCTTTATATAGGTTTGTGGTGGAAGGGAGCTCGGGGAGGTTGGGATAGGCTCCTGTGTGTCTTTATACAGGTTTGTGGTGGAGGGGAGCTCTGGGAGGTTGAGATAGGCTCCTGTTTTTGTATGGTTACTTGATCACTTTTGGTGTCTTTATACAGGTTTGTGGTGGAGCGGAGCTCGGGGAGGTTGGGATAGGCTCCTGTGTGTCTTTATACAGGTTTGTGGTGGAGGGCAGCTCGGGGAGGTTGGGATAGGCTCCTGTTTTTGTATGTTTACTTGATCACTTTTGGTGTCTTTATACAGGTTTTTGGTGGAGGGGAGCTCGGCGAGGTTGGGATAGGCTCTTGGTTTTGTATGTTTACTTGATCCCGGTTGGTGTCTTTATACAGGTTTGTGGTGGACGGGAGCTCGGGGAGGATGGGATAGGCTCCTGTTTTTGTATGTTTACCTGATCCCGTTTGGTGTCTTTATACAGGTTTGGGGTGGAGGGGAGCTCGGGGAGGTTGGGATAGGCTTCTGATTCTGTATGTTTACTTGATCACTTTTGTTGTCTTTATATAGGTTTGTGGTGGAGGGGAGCTCGGGGAGGTGGGGATAGGCTCCTGTTTTTGTATGTTTACTCGATCACTTTTGGTGTCTTTATACAGGTTTGTGGTGGTGGGGAGCTCGGCGAGGTTGGGATAGGCTCTTGGTTTTGTATGTTTACTTGATCCCGGTTGGTGTCTTTATACAGGTTTGTGGTGGAGGGGAGCCCGGGGAGGTTGAGATAGGCTCCTGTTTTTGTATGTTTACTTGATCTCTTTTGGTGTCTTTATACAGGTTTGTGGTGGTGGGGAGCTCGGCGAGGTTGGGATAGGCTCTTGTTTTTGTATGTTTACTTGATCCCGTTTTTGGGATAGGCTTCTGTTTCTGTATGTTTACTTGATCACTTTTGTTGTCTTTATATAGGTTTGTGGTGGACGGGAGCTCGGGAAGGTTGGGATAGGCTCCTGTTTTTGTATGGTTACTTGATCACTTTTGGTGTCTTTATACAGGTTTGTGGTGGAGGGGAGCTCTGGGAGGTTGAGATAGGCTCCTGTTTTTGTATGTTTTCCTGATCCCGTTTGGTGTCTTTATACAGGTTGGTGGTGGAGCGGAGCTCGGGGAGGTTGGGATAGGCTCCTGGTTTTGTATGTTTACTTGATCACGTTTGGTGTCTTTATGCAGGTTTGTGGTGGAGCGGAGCTCGGGGAGGTTGAGATAGGCTCCTGTTTTTATATGTTTACTTGATCCCGTTTGGTGTCTTTATCCAGGTTTGTGGTGGAGGGGAGCTCGGAGAGGTTGGGATATGCTCCTGTTTTTGTATGTTTACTTGATCCCGTTTGCTGTCTTTATGCAGGTTTGTGGTGGAGGGGAGCTCGGGGAGGTTGTGATAGGCTCCTGTTTTTGTATGTTTACTTGATCACTTTTGGTGTCTTTATACAGGTTTGCATTTTTCCTTTGACAGATTGATGGTATCAACACAGAGAGTTCAATTTTAAACTTTCTTTAAGTAAGGATAATTGTGATAAAATGTGACATTAAAATGGAAATAATACTCATAATATTCTCCTGATTGGTGAGGACAATAGTGGCCAATATAACGATGCTCTGCTGCCTCAAGGATCCATTTCAGTAGATATTGTATCCTATACACGTCCAATAGGTTAATATTTTCATTAATTAACTAACCCAAATCAACGCTCAATATTTCAACCACATGTCCTGAAGGTCCGCCTTCCAGGTTAGGCGAGAATACTCATGATTGTATTTAAAATATGACGTCTTGTACGAATATGTTAATTTTAATGTAACTTAACCTGATTAGATACACACTGTCTTAAAAGTAATACTTCGTCATATTCAAGAGCAAAAATATGTCGAAATAAAAATAACAAAAAATTGCAGAAGAAACTGATATTTAATTAAGAAACTCGTGATACCATTAGACCTCCTTGCTCTACATCTTCAAATTCCTTTAAAACCTTGAGTTCTTTTGTAAAAGTATGCAATCATGTTTATTGATGGAACATTGTTTTTATTTTTGCTTTAAACGTTAATTATTTTGTAATGGTATGTTTTACTGTTTTATGTTTAGTAACCCAATGTAGTTGCTAAAGTCTGATTATTGTTATGACGTCATAATAGCAATGTTGGATAACATTGAAATTACATGAAACATGACTGCTTTACTAATTGAACAAGCATGTAATATATAAATTTATATATATTTAAACTGAACAAAATGCTGACAATTCAAGAAATACACGATATTTACTAACCTATTGAGTATCCGAAATAATGACAAATGCAGTCATTGAATGCAATTCTGACAGCATTTATCATTTATATTGACTTATATAATAACATATCGATAGCAACAGCGCCTTGAATTTCATATTCCATGATTACGTCGAATGACGTCATTTGGTGTCAATTTACAATGTCACATACTTAAAGCAAAAATATTTAACAAAATATCTACATTAATAAATGTTATATCAGTACCTCGTTATGTTTAATATCTATGGAATGAAACGAATTGTCGAAAAATATTAAGGTATGAAATCCAGTGGCTTACAAACATATCCCATAAATCAGGGTTTATTTATAAATTGTATATTGGAAATGTGAACATTATTATGACATCATCTTGAATGAAAATGATAAGCAAATGTCTGCATCACACTCGAACCTACTACATCTTGCATAACATGCAATATTATAGCCACTTCAATGACAAGAAAACAAAAAAAAAATGATTCATTTATCTTATTTCACGAATTACGTCATTTGCTATCTACATCACATGAGAACCGAGTCGATCTCATGAAGAACGCCGTTGGTGGCTGATCTGTCTGCATTAACGATGGTGGCCGTGACATTGCCGAATTTCACTGACGTTGCATCTACAACATCAAGAGAAAATCCAGACATAGTGAGGGTACATACAGTTCAAAGAAAGTGATGTTAAAACACCATTCTAGTTTTATTCTTCTGTCAATTTAATCTCGGCAACGATCTGCAACTGTAATATGCAATTGATTTTTTTGACTTCGAGTTCGTGTTTCAAGTATAAGGAATGGGAAATACTTAAATTTGTGGAAATACAATGTAAAAAATATTTAATATCATTATACAATTACATATATGTACATGAAAAGTTGAATATATTGAGCACACAAAATGTTAAGATATTATTATGGTGGCAGTTTTGAACCTTCTCAAAACGTGAACAGTTGGTATCACGTTATGAGACAAACTTCTTGAATTTAACATACGTTCAAAACAAACCAAGTTTGGTATCAAAGATGTAATAAAAGGTCTCTGACTGACACAACTATTTGTGATTTACAAAGGGGTTTTGATGCTTTTTCAAATACATCACAACCACTCACCACGTCCCTATGAACATAAATTTAATAAACAAAACCGAATTTAAAGCTGGCATTACAGGCGTAGTTGTATAAGAACAGCAAAGATAAAGAAATTCTGGAAGGTATCAAAACTGTCTAAACACGAATCCTGTCGACGCAGAAAGGGACGGAACAGCATGAATTTAACAATACACAGCATTTACAAGTGGGGAGACGTTTTCTAGTAGGAATGTTTTCAATAAAGACTACTATAAAAGTAGTTACACTATTGCTTGATTATGAATATATGCTGCCCTGTTACAGGAAAGGACTAATAAGATGGCATAACTTGTTTCCAATCCTTTGTTCATGTTTATCCAACATAATTTAACCGATAACGCCGATGCGTATATTGTATGAAAGACATTAAAACTTACTTGCGCTAAAATCGGCCCCGCTCAAAGTCTTTCCTGTCCCAATGACTTTAATTCCAGCACTGTATATTGTAGAGGACACAATGTGATTTTGTAATACCGCTGAAACAATTAAAAAAACATATTACAGATTGCAAAGAAATGAAACCCTGATTTTACCCTAGATAATTTAGATATACATGTACTTGGATGACAATGTTTTATATTGGTCTGTCGTTTCAATTTTCAATTCCAAAAATGCATTCTTACCAAGAAATTTAAATAACAAGTTAAGGGTATAAATAACGTAATTTTAAATATAAATTACAAAATACAGAACTTAAAACACAAGTTTAAATATATAAATCACAACGTTTGCATTGTAAAAGTTATAATTTAAAAAAAAAAAACCCACATCGAAATGGTTTTCACGCCATATATATACCGCATAATTATTTTAATCAAATATATATGCAGTGGACTAGCATTGCCCGACACGTAACCTCAACATTTCCTATTACGGAACAGCTGATTTTGTGGAAATTAACACCACTGATTGAATGTAATCTTTTGTCAATATCATCAATAGCATGTTATACCCATGGAGGTCCATGTGACTGGTCCCAGTGCAATACATTTAGTAAATGTAAGCTGGAATGGAATCAAATCTATAACAATGTCCATCTTATGGAATGCATATACTTACTTATCAATTTAGGAATATTTGAAAGAAGACCAGCGACAGCTCCGGCCGGTAACTTGGAGAATGCTTCATCATTCGGGGCAAACAACGTGTAGGTACCTTCTGAAATAGGAGAGAGTACATGTGTCAGTGTAAAACGAACAGAACATACCAAGAGTAGGTACCTTCTGAAATAGGAGAGAGTATATGTGTCAGTGTAAAACGAACAGAACATACGAACAGTAGGTACCTTCTGAAATAGGAGAGAGTATATGTGTCAGTGTAAAACGAACAGAATATACGAAGTGTAGGTACCTTCTGAAATAGGAAAGCGTACATGTGTCAGTGTAACACGAACAGAACATACGAAGTGTAGGTACCTTCTTAAATAGGAGAGAGTACATGTGTCAGTGTAAAACGAACAGACCATACGAAGTTTAGGTACCTTCTGAAATAGGAGAGAGTACATGTGGCAGTGTAAAACGAACAGAACATACGAAGTGTAGGTACATATGTGTCAGTGTAAAACTAACAGAACATACGAAGGGTAGGTACCTTCTGAAATAGGAAAGAGTACATGTGTCAATGTAAAACGAACAGAACATACGAAGTGTAGGTGCCTTCTGAAATAGGAAAGAGTACATGTGTCAGTGTAAATCGAACAGAACATAAGAAGTGTAGGTACCTTCTGAAATAGGAGAGAGTACATGTGTCAGTTTAAAACGAACAGAACATACGAAGTGTAGGTACCGTCTGAAATAGGAGAGAGTACATGTGTCAGTGTAAAACGAACAGACCATACGAAGTTTAGGTACCTTCTGAAATAGGAGAGAGTACATGTGTCAGTTTAAAACGAACAGAACATACGAAGTGTAGGTAACTTCTGAAATAGGAAAGAGAATATGTGTCAGTGTAAAACGAACAGAACATACGAAGTGTATAGGTACCTTCTGAAATAGGAGAGAGTATATGTGTCAGTGTAAAACGAACAGAATATACGAAGTGTATGTACCCTCTGAAATAGGAGAGAGTACATGTGTCAGTGTAAAACGAACAGACCATACGAAGTTTAGGTACCTTCTGAAATAGGAGAGAGTACATGTCTCAGTGTAAAACGAACAGAACATACGAAGTGTATAGGTACCTTCTGAAATAGGAGAGAGTATATGTGTCAGTGTAAAACGAACAGAACATACGAACAGTAGGTACCTTCTGAAATAGGAGAGAGTATATGTGTCAGAGAAAACGAACAGAACACACGAAGTGTAGGTACCTTCTGAAATAGGAAAGAGCACATGTGTCAGTGTAAAACGAACAGAACATACCAAGAGTAGGTACCTTCTGAAATAGGAGAGAGTACATGTGACAGTGTAAAACGAACAGAACATACGAAGTGTAGGTAACTTCTGAAATAGGAAAGAGAATATGTGTCAGTGTAAAACGAACAGAACATACGAAGAGTAGGTACCTTCTGAAATAGGAGATAGTATATGTGTCAGTGTAAAACGAACAGAACATACGACGAGTAGGTACCTTCTGAAATAGGAGAGAGTATATGTGTCAGAGAAAACGAACAGAACATACGAAGTGTAGGTACCGTCTGAAATAGGAGAGAGTACATGTGTCAGTGTAAAACGAACAAAACATACGAAGTGTAGGTACCTTCTGAAATAGGGGAGAGTACATGTGTCAGTGTAAAACGAACAGAACATACCAAGAGTAGGTACCTTCTGAAATAGGAGAGAGTATATGTGTCAGAGAAAACGAACAGAACATACGAAGTGTAGGTACCGTCTGAAATAGGAGAGAGTACATGTGTCAGTGTAAAACGAACAGACCATACGAAGAGTAGGTACCTTCTGAAATAGGAAAGAGTACATGTGTCAATGTAAAACGAACAGAACACACGAAGTGTAGGTACCTTCTGAAATAGGAAAGAGTATATGTGTCAGTGTAAAACGAACAGAATATACGAAGTGTATGTACCCTCTGAAATAGGAGAGAGTACATGTGTCAGTGTAAAACGAACAAAACATACGAAGTGTAGGTACCTTCTGAAATAGGAGAGAGGACATGTGTCAGTGTAAAACGAACAGAACATACCAAGAGTAGGTACCTTCTGAAATAGGAGAGAGTACATGTGGCAGTGTAAAACGAACAGAACATACGAAGTGTAGGTGCCTTCTGAAATAGGAAAGAGTACATGTGTCAATGTAAAACGAACAGAACATACGAAGAGTAGGTACCTTCTGAAATAGGAAAGAGTACATGTGTCAGTGTAAAACGAACGGAACATACGAAGTGTAGGTACCTTCTGAAATAGGAAAGAGCACATGTGTCAGTGTAAAACGAACAGAACATACGAAGTGTAGGTACCTCCTGAAATAGGAGAGAGTACATGTGTCAATGTAAAACGAACAGAACATACGAAGTGTAGGTACCTTCTGAAATAGGAAAGAGTACATGTGTCAGTGTAAAACGAACAGAACATACGAAGTGTAGGTACCTTCTGAAATAGGAGAGAGTACATGTGTCAGTGTAAAACGAACAGAACATACGAAGTGTATAGGTACCTTCTGAAATAGGAGAGAGTATATGTGTCAGTGTAAAACGAACAGAACATACGAAGAGTACGATAATGAGATAATTACAAATAATATCTCAAAAACAACAAAGAAACAAACTTCACATGAATATAATATTTGTTGATGCCTTCTTTAACGGCTTACATAAACAAACTATTTCGATGTTAATATTTTTCTGTTGCCATGCTTTCACGTAATTTAGTAAACTTCATGGTTCCATCGCATTTACAAATAATTATGATATTCATTTAACCATAAGCATACTAAACAATGTATTTTGGGCTTAAGACATCATGCAGTTTAACAAAAATTGTGACAAACATATCAGATATATATATATGTATATATTTATATTGCGAGTTCAAGACGGTGGGTTGGTGTGGTGAGCTGAGGATATTTCTAGGCTAGCCGTAGATCGTGAGTTCGAGTCCTTGAAGGAACTTAAGTCATAAAAGTGTCTTGTGTTTCTATTTCATTGATTCAATGTATCATATACAATAGAGTATGTTGATCCGAAGGTTAAATATACGAACTACCTGCCGTTATTGTTCAATAAACCAAAACTTGTATTTGAAAAAGCTTGTTTTTCTTATATTTTCATAACAGGATTATTATGATGACTCTTTTGTCCAAAGTCCATGCAATCTTTGATCTTTATTAGATTTTGCGTTCTTTGATTTATCCTGAAATTTGCTCCTTTTTTCTTTATAGGCCTCGCATGATATGTAACGCCATTACGTCACTAAATAATTATTCTGACGTCATTACCTTTAAGGGTGTCGAGAAGTTGTGCCTTTGCCGCCAGGAGCAGAAGGGTTTGGTAGGACCCCGTGTTGGCTATGTATTCATATAGACTTCCACTCGGTAGCGGGTACATCACACGGTCCAATAGGTGGATCACACCGTTCGTGGCGTTTTCGTCTCCCCTAATGATTACCGCCCCTGACGACGTGATTACCTGCAACTGTTTGTTTGCATTATTACGTGATAGGTAATATTCCAGGTCATTTGACGATGTGTGTAAGAAGATAACATAACAATACAGAAGGAAAGAGAAGGAAAACATTAAAATCTAAGACATCTCTGTGGATGTTGGTCTTGTGACAATCGGGAATAGTCGGTACATTCCGTAAACGATCTTGCGTTTGCAGAAATTTTTCCAGGAAATCTGTTTCTCAGATACATGTTGGCCAATGAATAGTTGGTTTCCTGTTACATGTTTGAAAATATTAGGTTATGTCGTAAGGTAATACATCTTATTGTATAAAGTTTCTACATAGAGCAGTAATCCTGACTGTAACAGTGCCTCCTTAAGACCTCCCAAACGATTTAGGTAGGCATGATAACCGGACACAAACAACGTTTGTATTCGATCGTATGTATATTTTGAAATGGATATAATAATCCAGAAAGTCATGCTAATTTGAAAACCTCTGGAGAAGCATGGGAGGCGCGTATGTAAACGTTATGAAATTCGCTGCAATTTCAACATGGTGTCTTGACAAAGAGTAGTCAACGGGATGGAAGTGTGGCCTTATCTCTCCCAACCACAATTACATCGGCATTCACCACGTCGTTACAGGGGCAGCAACCCAGTGTTTAAAAAGATATAAACATTATAATCTCTTGTAGGTGTATAACTAGTTGAAGGCTATAACCTTCACTATATATATTGAAGGTTATATCAACATATTAAATTTTATTCAGGCCTACCAATCTAGTACACTCTGTTCACAAAGTCCATTGTGAAAATTCGCTAGTAAAGCACCCTACAGAGTTGAAGGACAGATCATGGGAAATAATCATTTTGATAGTCATTTTTTATTTTATTTTTTATTTATGGTGCTTAATTGAAGTAACCAGGGAAACATCAAAGTGCGGAAATAATAAATGAGTGCAAATATGTTCTGCCCAGGGTACATTCCAACACTATGGATAGCCTACTATGGTCACGCCATTGGTGCGTTTTACAACTATAGCTATATTCTTACATCGATTACATTCGATAGGTTAGAATCAATGTTTAAGACATGACATTTTCAAGAACAATTGAGTACAAACTAAAAATAGAAATGGTAAATTCAAACATCCTGTTAAGTGGACAAATATTTCAATAATTTTCGTGACTGACTTACAGTTGTGTTTGCTTTCGAGTACTTGTTGAATCGGACCGCTTGACCGCCGGAAGCATCGGAGGGCAATATTTGATCGTTGACCAGTTGGGTGGTGTTAGTGGAGTGAGGTAATATGTGGTAGAGCAGAATCTCCCTCATAGTGTTATTGTTTGACATCACATCCTGTGGCAGGCGTCCAAACGCCAGATCAGCCGGTAACAATATAGTTGCATCTGTAAAGGACATGATTTTTAACGTTAATGTTACCTAATGTTTATGGTTTCCAAAGAAATGAATTAATCATTTTGTTAATAGAGGCACGGCAATCTAGTGGTAGGACGCCGGGCTCGTGACCGAAGGGTTGCGGGGTCGAGTCACGGCACGGCACTGTGTTGTATCTTTGAGCAAGACACTTTTCTCCGCTTGTTCCAGTCCACTCAGCTGTAAATGAGTACGTGGTTGGGCAGTGCCAGAATTGTTGAATGCTAGCTGTTAGCGCCGAAATGGCAGCTCCGGCTAAATGCTCCCCAGGGAGTATTAACCACGGATAATAATTTGTGAACCGCTTTGAGACGACCTACGAACTAGGTTGTGATAAAGCGGTATATAAGAACCTCAAATTATTATTATTAATAATAATAAAGGAACACGTTAACAAAGAGTTACAGTGGATTTTATAATTTCTCATTGTAGTTCCATTTCGTTTTTCGATAAAACTGTCTTTTTGATCCGGTTTGCTGTTATTCACTCTAGGGCGTAATTTACAACGTAGTTTCAATGGAAAATCTGAGAACAATAACACCTATTTTGGAAATAAACCTGAAAACTTCATAAATTGACAATTTGACATAACTTAAATATCTGTAATGGTGCCTGTATATGATATCAAATTAGACATTAGTTGATTATCTGTTAGCGATATGAATGCATCAGTTATGGATTTCATTAAGGTGAATCTGTGGTTATATACACACGAGAAAGACATATTAATCGAGTGGAAGTCCAACAAATTAATTGGTTATTACCTTTAAAAAATAAAGATGGACGTCATGAGAAAAGTGCTGCTTTGGTAGAGATCTTTATGATGTAACGATTGAAGTGAACAGAATAGTAACGTAGTTGTTTCTAAAAATAGTACCACTGAGTCAATATCACAAATCACTAACCTCCACGTGATTATGATCTAACCAATAAGGATGAGGAAAAGACTGTGTCTTATGTGGCGTTGATACGCGAGCAGACTTGTTCGTAAATTAAAATATTCCACAAATGACCATACGACATTCACCACTAGAGATATAGAAGTAGTATCGTCCCAATCTCAGAATTAAGTATTCCCCAATAAGGCCTACGTGCATACCTCGCGATATACAGTACACATGCAAATAAAATGACTTGCTGTGTTTGATAATGTCTTATGTTAAAAACCTGTAAAAAACTTAATGTTAACCAAAAGCCGTTGATAAGAAAACTGTTTTTAATCGCAGACGAACGAGATACAATGGAAGCGGTTATGGAAGTGATAATAATCTGTATCGCTTGTTCAAACTAAAATTAAACGTATCTACCGTGATAACGGGCGTATATTTAGTGGAGGCCTATGTCTGTATTTAGTGTAGGCCTATGTCTGTATTTAGTGTAGGCCTATGTCTGTATTTAGTACAGGCCTATGTCTGTATTTAGTGCAGGCCTATGTCTGTATTTAGTGTAGGCCTATGTCTGTATTTAGTGCAGGCCTATGTCTGTATTTAGTGTAGGCCTATGTCTGTATTTAGTGTAGGCCTATGTCTGTATTTAGTGCAGGCTTTTACAATGGGGATGGTATTGAGTTTGGGTTTGTATCCCAATAAACTGATTATTTATTCTCGCGTTACTACAAATTAGTTAATTCAAGTAGAAGTTGGAAACAAACGTAATTAGCATGTGTCATGTTTTCTTCCGACTGGTGGTTCGTTGTATGGCACCTCTAGATACTTTAGATGAAATTAATATCGACTAGACAACGCCACGTTATTTATATATTTCTTTCAACAGAACACGACCATATATCAATATGGTGTTTCATTAGATCACCTACCTTTTGTTTGATTGAGTGTTTTCCAAAGTCCGGTAACGGTTACATACTTTAAAAAGGTTTTAGCTCCGTAAAGTTTACAACAATCTAAAATGTTCATTCCCCACTCGCATGCATTACTGCATTCAGGGTAAGACACAGAAAATATCAGACACAACAGGACAAATCTCGTTACATTACACATCGCCATTGTGATATCAAATGAAATGTGACGCGTTAAATGCATGTGACGGATTTTATCATACGAGAACACCATCAGTAGTTATCTACAGCAAGTCTTAACAAGGATATGACGGGCTAGTCAAGGTTATCAAAGCTGCAAGTACACACCTCAAGGTCAATGACCGACTTCAAGTCCACATTCCTTTTAATATTCCCATCCGCTCGCAAATGTTTACTTTCTTTTTATTGTGTACATATTAAGCTGGCAGTGCAAATTTAAAAGCTTTGAATTGTAAAAAAAAAAAAAAGTTCCAATATTCCCAACTTTGCATATTAACAAAACTATGGTATTGTATTTCCATCATTGCTGATCGGTGTATATAACCTGTATCAATTCTGCATAAATATACAACCAACTTCCAATTAGGTCACACGCATGAAAACCACCGATGTGAAATCGAGACCGATTGATAAATGACCCAAACAATGTCCGGAGAGTTTATTTCATAAAAAGCTATTGGTAATTTATCAATTTAATAATTTATCTTAATATAAGGTTCTAGTTATAGTTCCGTCACAAATAAAATTATACTGGTGCCTCAGTCAGGCAATCTGGTAAGGTAAGCAACGTCTGTATCACACATGATTTCCGTCACAAATAGAATTATACTGGTGCCAAAGTCAGGCAATCTGGTGAGGTAAGCAACGTCTGTATCACACATGGCTTCCGTCACCAAAAAATTATACTGGTGCCACAGTCAGGCAATCAGGTAAGGTAAGCAACGTCTGTATCACACATGGCTTCCGTCACAAAAAAAAATTATACTGGTGCCACAGTCAGGCAATCTGGTAAGGTAAGCAACGTATGTATCACACATGGCTTCCATCACAAATAGAATTATACTGGTGCCACAGTCAGGCAATCAGGTAAGGTAAGCAACGCCTGTATCACACATGGCTTCCGTCACACACAAAACAAGAGGCCCAGAGGGCCTGTATCGCTCACCTGGATACCTAAGCAATCATGGCAAACTATTCTCCAAATGAGATCAAGGGAATATGCCAGACCCCAAGGCCAATCCTTGTAGCATAGCTATATTAGATTTTTCATGCCCAGCAATTTTATGTATGGTTATGGGGTGGGGATCTCAACTGTTTCCACGCTTTGACTCAGAAACTAGGTCCCTAGAGTTGTGGCCAGACCCCAGGATCGATTCTAATATC